CAGAGATTCGATCATATGTTAATTGAATAGCATCATAAATGCAGGGTATCTTATTTCATTTAATGACATCTTGGTGTAAGATAATATACAGTAGGTATGCAATACTCTTCTCTCGTTCTATTAAATGTAACACCGAGTTCTCGAAAAGTGATGGTCCGAAGGATTTGACCACCGAAATTTTGTAAGGACCGACACAATTTTGGTATTTTGCAATAGAAATAATAGTGAGGACCAGCAGATTTTCTTCAAGGACCACCAGGGAAAACAAGATTTTGAGAACTCTGGTAACACATGCATATAATGTCATATGGTTTAATCTAAATCCAATAAACTGTGAATACATTACATTGTAAATAAAATACCTTTGTACAACATAATCCTCTTGTTTAAGCTAAGACATTGTCACAAGGAAATCTTAAGGTTATAAATCTTTCAACAATTTAATACATGTTTTATTTTCCTTGAAACTTCTCATAGTGATTTTCTCTGAACGAAAACGTTCAAAATAAAACGTAGATTATTGATTGATTGGTGGTGTTAAAAACCACTTTCAGCACTCCTGGTTATATCATGGCAGCAAGTTTTTATTAGTGGAGGAAGCCAGAGTTCCCAGAGATAACTAACGACCTTTGACAGGAAAACTGACTATAATCCTAGTCAATTGATATGGCAGTCAAACACACCCAGCCACCAACAACAAAGTGTTGACATGTTAGGGAGCTACCATTTGATTTTTATGGGGAGCCTGCTAGGATAAAATTTAAAAAAAAAATCAGGATAAACTAATTAAAAAAAAAAGGCAGGACCGAATAGAGTGAAAAATAAAAAGGCAGGACAGAGATTACAATTAAAAAAATTTGCAGGACAAAATTTTTCATCCTAGCCCCCTCCCCCTAAAAATCAAATGGTAGCTCCCTTATTGATCACTGTAGATGAACTTCATAGGCCCCAAAAGATATAGAAGTAGCAAAAGAAAAGATCTCAAAACTTCTATATTAAAAAAAACAACAGGCATTACTACAGACATTGTAAAATCCATTTACCAGTAGTGGCCATGACACTGAAATAATATTGTGCTAGAGCTAACAGGTTTAAGAACTTATTTTGACTATTCCCTTGTTTTAAATATAAAATATTTTAATGACCGACAATTTATCCTGTTTGTCTAGAGCTTAATGTAAGTAACATTGAACTTATAAATGTCATGCTTTGGTCAATTGTAATTGATTGTTTAAGAGTTCACAATGAACTTTCAGTGACCTTTTGACATGTTTAAATGTTAAATGTCATCATAAGTATTTTCTCTAAATATTTTATCTCTCTCCCTCTTTCTCTCTCAGAACCAAACTCATGCATGTAGTACTATAGTCCACAAGAGAAACAAAACTTTTACATAAACAAAGCAAAATGTCTTGACCTGTTTGAACTTTACATGCAACTTAGTGGATGAAACAACAGGTCAGATTCAGTCAAAATCATAGAAGTCTTATTGACCGTTTGTTGTCAATTTTGAATACAATTTGTGTGGTTGCTGTCTCTCACTGACATTAATCTATTCATTCACATTGCATTTGGAAATCACAAATGATTATCAAAAAAGCTCAATTTTCAACCAATAAAAGTTATGATGTAAGAAGACTATAGCTTTTATAGAGTCTGTATACAAAATCAATTTTTGCATGTCCTGAGCACTAAAATCAAAATTATAGGTTTATATTGCATGCATGTTTCACAATAAAACACTTCTTTATGATCTCCATTTATTATGCAGTGAGGGGCCACAAATGGGGACAATACATTAGGTTTTACTTAAATAACACATTTTTTGCTGATTTCACAATTTTTATTGCAATATTTTCTGAGTTCAAGACTTGAAGTCTGATGTGATTAATTTTTATGACAATATAAATCTTGACTAAACATCTGATCTAAACAGGATGTCATCTAAATCTATTGCATGACACTATATCCCAATTACGTAACATACAAACTACCACAACATATTGATTCTGTCATGTGAGAAATTCACATGATCTTTTATTGAAAATTGTCCTTACAAAAAGTCATAAAATGTCTCGGTTAAAAAGACAGCTAATTGATATACTTGTCTGTAAAATTGACAATTTACAAGTAAAATCTCTCAAATTGACATTTTCCTATATAGCACGCAATATTAAGTGTAAAATTGTCTATCATACCAGTTTACAATTTTTTTTTTTTTTTTTTTTTTTTTTACAATCCCTGTACATCACCACCTGACTATGGTGTTAAGGGGTTTGATATAGGAAACAAAAAATTTAATAATTGACTACATTTTTTTTCTACTGTGAATATATTTTATTGAATATCAACATTATAATAAAAAGGGGAAAAGAAAACAATCACACACACATACACCCACTCTTGCACTTGCTTTAACATAACAATATCAACTTGTGTATTGCAAAAAAAATGTTATCTTTGTAAAGATCTGCTCTTTATAAACTGTAAGTTTCATTTTTCACTTTATATGATTTGAATCAAAAGTAATTGTTACTAATCAGTAAAAATGTAATCTACTGGGGCCCAGAATTTTTGAAAAAAAGGTGTGGTACCATTTTTCTTTGCTATATAATGTTCATTTTCCTGATATTTTCTTATTTTTGCTAAAAGCCCTATAATACTTGGCTTCTTTTCATACAATTTACATTTGTATATAGTTCTTTGCAATGATAATCATCAAATTCAACAGTAAACTCTCATTTTGAAGGCCAAGAAAAATGTGTTTCTTAGATAATGTAAAGTTCACAAAATATTGTTTCAATTTTTGTGAAAAAGATTGCCATATAAAATGTGTTATTGGACATTCATAGAATAAATGCTCCAGTTCAACATTTTATGTACAGGGGATATTCCTTGTTAGTTTTTTATATCCCCTGAACTGTCAGGATAAAGGGATATAGGGCACAACCGAGAATACATGTATGAGCCAATATCCTGTGAGGACAAAATAGCAATTACATTATACTGGAGAATCCTGATTTCATCATTTAATTATCATATTTTATTTCAGTTCACTGGGAATATAGGCTCATATCCCCTGCCAAGGTAACCAATCAAATTCTGTGATTAGCCGTAATATCTTACTCCAGTATAATACTGACATACATGTTTATAGTGGGCAAGGCCTGAAGGGTGTTCATTCCTTTAGGACTTTAAAGCAGAAATCATTTTCTTTGTTTAAACTGTCAAATTTAAAGTGGATGTCATAACATATAAAACAAACCTGTATCAAGGGTTTTGCTGCATGAACTGCATGCTGTTAAATATACCTGTTTTTGTAAAAAATTGTGGAATGTAACAGTTAAAAACTGTAATGATTTTAATGACTTAAAACCTGCAAAAACATAGCGAAAGGATCAAGCTTCTTTCATTCTTGAGAGACAAAAGTTTCCAAGTTAATTATAATTAAGGAATCAATTCCGGTTTATGATACAGGTTTTTAATTTGACTATGAAACTGCAGTAAATCAATGTTTTAATATGAATGTTAATATTTAGACTTGTGCAATTTGGAATGAAACTTTATTGTATTTTATGATTAAGCATCTAATCTTATACTTGTTAAAAAAGGGGACACTTGCATGCATGCTAATATTAACAAGTATTTCATAATAAAGTTAATTGTCTAAATATTTGGTCAGTATTTTCTGCTATCAGGTAACAACGCAGGTAAAATCTATAAGCGATCATTAACCTAATACATGTATCCCTAGAGGAATTAAACAGTAACTTGCAGGGAATTGTGGATTACTTGGTTATAAAAAAAAATCTAATCTAATACCAGGCTTATTATTTTGTATGCCAGACACACTTTTCTTCTATGAAAGACTCATCAGTCTTAATAATTAAATCTGTTAAATATAGTTCACTCACTCCTTTTCCCTCTTATTCCAATATAGGACCAAGCAACAGTCCAATATTATATACGACCAAGTAACAGTCCAATTTATGACCAAGTAACAGTCCAATTTATGACCAAGTAACAGTCCAATATATGACCAAGTAACAGGACTGGACAGATGTATAATTAAAATTGTGTATTTATTGTGATCTGCATACTTCTGAATGCAAGTTCAAAGACTTGCACTCTCTAAATTATTTGAAGAAATCCAATTGGAAGCATTCTATACCTTGTCCAATTCACCAAGAACAATTCTCTCAGTCTTTTAAGTGTATTTGGTGTTCGTAGCTGTGAATACATGGACATTTATTTTACTTTAAGCAAATGACACCTCACATGATTTTAACATAAAGATAGGGAATCCAAATTCTTTTGGTCAATTGACCATTTCAGAACCTAAAGGACTATGGGTAATTTTATTGTCCGTACCCCAAAATGAAAATAACGTCACATCATTGGTTAGATTTCCATTGTTTAGGACTTCTTTAACCAACCACGACGTTTTGGTGTACACTTTTGAAAATATTACCCAGAATGCATTAGATTCTGAAACGGTTAATCGATGGTCATCTTTAAAGGTCATTATTTATCTATAAGATATAATTAAAAACAAAAAAAAAAACATATGGAGATTTGCATGCAGTCTCAATTTTGGATATAATAAAATGATTGCATTGGTTGTTAGCAGGTGCAATTTGAAGAACATTGAAATAAACTACTATAGAACCAATGTCGGGCCACAGAAGGAGCTGTTCATTTTTCCTTGGCTTGTTCATATTGTATGAAGTTTCTACTGTATTTGTCCAATTACAAACAGTACGATTTCGCAAAACTAAGGATACATGTAGAAACAAATTTCATAATACGCCCATGATTTGGTCAATTTTCTTGGTCATACATCATGTCTTTTTGTAAATTCATTGATTTTTTGAAATACCCAACAAGACAATTCTTTGTGGCATTGTTAGGGTGTACAATAGGTGATGCCTTGAGGCATTATTGGGCACACTCCAGGCGATGTCTCAAGGCATCATTGGGTATGTAAGGGTTAAACCTACCTGATAGGAGTAAATAAATGGTCACAGATACCACAGTGTAACAGGGTGTTCTGGTTACCTGTCCTCCATAACACATCTTAATACTTGTCAGTAGAAATCTGTATGTCCATTTCTAAACAAATCTGAAAAATACAATCTTTACTTAAAGACACAAGGTACATTTTACATGTACATGTAATACCTTGACAAAACATTATTATATTCCCACTTACTGATACAGGGGTAAAGAATAACTATACCGTCTTAAAACATCTAACATATTTGTATGAGGCTAAGTAACATGTAGAAATGTGAGGCTTTGCAGAGCATTTATATCTAGTTTCAAGCCTAATAAAAAAATGACAAATAAAATTTACATTTTTAGACAATGTATTGTTATTCTCTTTATCATTCAATTCGTAAAACTGTTTTAAAAGAAATATTTTAGTAAAATAATCAACTCTTATTAATAATCAATGTGATTCAGACCTCATAAAAATATTGTAAACCTGCATTTTAAAATACCACCTCATACTCATACAAACATAACTAAAATTCAATGGAAATCTATTGTCAAGGTCACAAACAAGGCCTTACATCACATATAAGTTCAGTGGTTTATACATACATGTATATCTTTATCTGTAACAACTACATGTAAGTGCATGTTGATTGATATTGTTTTTATTCATTCATCTTTAAAACTTTGAAACTGAAACTCTACCTAAACCAACTGTGTTCCTCTGTGGTCAAGTGAAAGCATATTCTCCTTGCTTAGTATATGACCTTACTGATTCATAAAACACAGACAAATTCCTTTAATACTGTTGTTTTAAACTTATGAACAATAAAACCAAACAGACTATTGTCCTGAATAAACATGAAGTATTTGCCACTGAACACTTAGAAATAACCAATTTATCAATATATTTGAACATGTTGATTAAACAATTGTTAGCATGAGATCTGCATCTATTTTCTTCATTTTGCATTTGATCAATACCTTGAAAATATTGCATAATAAATCATAAAACAAATAAATACATATTAAATTTAATGGGGTTCGTATAATTTGTTCTATCCAACATGATTGATGAGCCAATCAAATGGTTTCTTTCTTTTTATATTTCATCAAAAATTCATCTTGTCTGTATCAGAATGCTGTCTGAACACAGAGATTTCTGTTCTTTCTAACGGATCTATTGTGTATTAATTAATGCACCATAGTCATGATAGTTGCTATACTGCTATAGAATTACATATAAAAGTAATTACAAAAGTTATCTGTACAATTATTATAAACTACACAACATGTTTCGGCAGTGTATGTTATATAAGAGTTTGTACTTTTAATTTGCTGAAAAGAATCACAAGGCTTCTAAAATTCAAATGGTATTTCTCAATAAACATGATGAAATACAACTTTCATGACCACACATGCTTCCAATGGCACTGCAGAGGAAAACAACCCAAAGTATGATATAACTAGTAATTTAATGATTGTAGCATATAAACATGATTATGAAAATTAAATTTCTTCTTTTTGTAATTTGAAAGGGGTGTAATAACATAAACAGTACCAATGTTTCTACACCAGATGGCCCGAGAACACAGTTATTTCGTAGTGCATTTCTTTTAGACAATAAATTCAAATTAAAAAAATCGCACCTGCTCTATCTCAAAAAGATTTTTACAGTGTAGTGTACTACTATTGATACAAATAATATCAAAATTATAGAATTTTCTACCAGCTCTAACTCAAAATATTGACAATTCTGTGTTAAGGGGGGCTAAAATTCAGTTTGACAGCTTCAGACATTCTAATTTTTGACCTTTTTTAACTGGACCAAATCACTACTTAACATAAAGATTCAGCACCCAAATTTTTTTAACATGTAATTTCATCCCCTTACTTAATATTTCATGCATAAAATATCAAGAAATAAATTGGGAAAGTGTATCAAAAAAAAATGCAAGTTATACACTGTTCACACTAGGGACTATATTTGTAGACAACGAAAACCAAAGGACGATAACTGTGTCCTTGGACCTAATAGGATAGAAAGACTTGACCAATTTTAATAAAACTTTGCATGACCTAAGCTTAGGCAATTATAAGATAGTTGGCCAAGTTTCATTGCCATAGGATATATATTATAGAAACTAGGGCCATTTTAATATTGAAATTTGGTGGTTTATTTTTGACGTTTAAATCAAATATTTTCAACTGTCAAGATTTTGGCCTAAAAAATTTAAATATTGCAAAAATTTGCTTTTAAAATACTCTTGAATTTAATATAATAAGTATTAAAAGCAACGGAACACTCATTTGATTTATCAGATTTATTACAGTTATTCAAAAGTCAAATTTATATGAGCCTGTGCCTGAAAATAGAGATTTTTGAATTAAGGGAAGCCTTACATAAACATGCATTTTTTTCAACCAATTTGAAGTTTTTGAAGTTTTTTAACCATACATTATTCTTCCATATATATTAAATGTACTTTAAATGTAAAGAAAAGTTACAAAAAGCATACCACATGAGTATAAAATGGTCTTAGGCCATGTAAGACTGAGAATTATTTAGAGTCGATTTAGGCCGTAGCCCATATTTACATATAAAAATGCACACAGAGGCTATAAGAAATTGAAATTTGTTACTTTTTGCTCATTTCTATGCTAAGATGTCATGATACAAGAAGTCTAATTGCAAAAGGACTCTTGAATTCAACTTTTTTTTGCAGACAGTATGGTCTGATGACCAGTTTTTCACTTTTCAATGGAAAACTTGCATGTAGTTTTAGTCTCATTTGGCATATATTTGAACCACTTACTATCCTAAAGAAGAAAATTATGATAGCATATGAAATGAATAGGGTGTACTGATCATTGTAAAGTGGTTTTTTTTACAGATTTAGTGAAATATTTGTGATGGACTACAGATTTTATGTACAAAGCTCTTCACATTTCACATACATCAAACAGGCCGTTTAACCAGGGACATAAATACAAATATTCTGCACATTTTTTCTGTGATAATCTACTTTTCTCTAGATTCCGAGTTCACAAATGGTTAATTAAATTTGATTTAAGCATAGAAACACAAATATCAGGAACATAAAAAGCTGTCAGATAGAAAGTCAGCATGGCTCTTAGGCATAAAATGGAAACTGCTTTAAAATGCCTATTTTAGCCGTATAATGCCAAAATGGGACATTTTAACAGAATTTCTGTCAAACAAAGATGTAAATCCTTTACTTTTATTGAGTTTGACAAATTGAAACCAGCAAACCATTCAGGAAAGTTGCCAAAGTACAGAATCTACATTTACGGAATTCATCTCTTAGGCCCAAGAACACAGTTATTTCGTAGTGCATTTCTTTTAGACAATAAATTCAAATTAAAAAAATCGCACCTGCTCTATCTCAAAAAGATTTTTACAGTGTAGTGTACTACTATTGATACAAATAATATCAAAATTATAGAATTTTCTACCAGCTCTAACTCAAAATATTGACAATTCTGTGTTAAGGGGGGCTAAAATTCAGTTTGACAGCTTCAGACATTCTAATTTTTGACCTTTTTTAACTGGACCAAATCACTACTTAACATAAAGATTCAGCACCCAAATTTTTTTAACATGTAATTTCATCCCCTTACTTAATATTTCATGCATAAAATATCAAGAAATAAATTGGGAAAGTGTATCAAAAAAAAATGCAAGTTATACACTGTTCACACTAGGGACTATATTTGTAGACAACGAAAACCAAAGGACGATAACTGTGTCCTTGGACCAGATACGAATTTTGACAATCAATGTCTCTTCAGTAATGCTCGAGGCCAAAATAATTGAAAATCAAAAGCTTATTAAAAAGATGAGAGCTATAAACCAAAAAGGACAAACAAGTATAGCCAAAGCCGAGCAAGGAATCAGAGCTTTGCACAAGTAAAAGTGTTGATCATTCACATTGAGATTCATACCAGTAAACAAATGTGCTTCTGTCAACGATTTTACACCACAATAAAATTACCAATAGAAGCATTAAATTCTTAATAAAGAGTCTCCTAACAACAGACAAACAGACAATAATATACAGTAGATGGAAAGTTTCTCCTAACAACAAATAAACAGACAATAATATACAGTAGATGGAAAGTCTCTCCTAACAACAGACTATAATATACAATAGATGGAAAGTCTCTCCTAACAACAGACAATAATATACAATAGATGGAAAGTCTCTCCTAACAACAGACAATAATATACAGTAGATGGTAAGTCTCTCCTAACAACAGACAAACAGACAATAATATACAGTAGATGGAAAGTCTCTCCTAACAACAGACTATAATATGCAGTAGATGGAAAGTCTCTCCTAACAACAGATAAACAGACAATAATATACAGTAGATGGAAAGTCTCTCCTAACAACAGACTATAATATACAATAGATGGAAAGTCTCTCCATACAATAGATGGAAAGTCTCTCCTAACAACAGACAATAATATACAGTAGATGGACACCTACATTTCTTTGCTAAATTACAAATGTAATTGGCAATTTAGATTTTAAAACTTTTAATTAAAATTTTATATGAAATGGTTATTTTAACAACAATGAACAAGTTGAATATTTGCTTTTATTTTCAAGAAATCGTATTGACTGCTGAGGGAAGAGTTTGTCTGGTCTTTTCCATTACTATTACATGTACGTAGATCAGATAAAATGTAAAACACAATAAGAAGGCAGACGTGGACATGTAATGTACATCATTTGTTTTTAGTATAATATGCTGATTGCGATCTTGACCATAATTTGAGCTGCATTGGATATAAATCCACCTTATGCAAATAAATATCAATATTTGTTAACCTATTTCGGGTTGAAAAAATCTCTTCGGAATATCTGGAACTGTTTGAAAATAGTTTTGTTATATGAAACACACCAAAATTCATCTTTTACTTCGTATTTGAATGTTCCAAAATCAACCAAAGTGCAAAGTGCAACTTTCACATGTATGTTTCAATCCATCATTCATAATCAGTTAAATCATCTCAATGCAATCATTTGGTCAAATTTTAAATCAACATACATGTACAATACAGTCAATTTTAAGGTCAATGAACTAGATTAGGATTACCTGTTAAATCTATTACGGAATCATTATTTGATTATTATGAAATTAATTGTTTATCAAAACATTAAACATTTTACTAAATGCTATCAATCATTATCTAATATGTTAAGAATAAACAAGAGGATTACTGGAAATGTGTGAAAACAACTGACTAGAATTACGGATAAACATTATGGTGGACAATTACTGGCAATTTGCAAAGAGAACATAATTATTCTAAAGTCTGAAGGGTTTTGGTGGGCACGGTTCCATGAAGATCCTTCTCCAGCAGACAATGAATCAACTCAATCAAGTTCAATCATTGTGAGCGCTTGCAAATATGTTTAACCTCGCCACAATCTATATGTGCCTGTCCATTGTTAAATACATTGCAATATTTCAGAAAGTCTACCTTATAAAAGAGACATAAATTTGAGTATTAACTGTTGACATCACAGGACACAGATCTGAGGAAAGCACACAGATTTGACTCCTACATAATATGATATAAGTCATGAATATTATCAATTTTTTTTTCTTCAAATAAAACATCTGCATTTGGTGAAAATGGGGACGGACTAACTGTTATCTTTAAGACTAAACAAAACTAGTCTGACCTTATTATATTATAGATGGGTAATTAATTCAATGAACTTTAAGATTGATCAAAGAGGTGTCAAAAAAGGGCTTTTCAGTGCTAATATTTTACTTGCCAACAAACAAATCCTAGAGTTAATGTAGTTAGTCCAGCAAAATAATCAAAGGCCTAAATGCTTGACACACAAAAGTTTTGTGTGGATTTATTTGTCTCTCAGTTTTTTCGCCATGGTGTTGTCAGTTTCTTTCGACGGGTGTTCCCTGTCATGAAATAGAAGTTCCTTCATAATATAAGTTTCAAGTGGAAGAAATACATGTATTATGTAACATTTATTCCACAGGAACAAATATTACAGTATTTGTTCCTTACGGAATAAAGGTATAGAATATTTGAATAGAAGTTCCTTCATAATATACGTTCCAAGTGGAAGACATATTCTGTACTATTTATTCCACCAGAACAAATATAACAGTATTTGTTCCTTACAGAATAAAGGGTATAGAATATTTGTTCCAACAGGAACAGACATCATTGCATTGTTTATAACAAAGTTTCCAGGGGATCTTCTGTAAGAGTGACAAATATAGGTTGACACCCTTGGTACATATATCTTCTGAAGTTCAGCCTCTTTTTTATAACATTTAATGTATCAAATAAGGATTACTTGCAAATATAATTCAAAACGGAAAGGCAGGGTCATTGAATTTAAGCAATTAGAATATAATGAACTAATAACTTTCAAAAATATCTGACTTTAATGAAGTACTTTGAGCATGTTGAGAGTACAAATTTGATTTTTCATGTCAACATGGTCAATGTCAGTCCTAAAATCCTTGTTTCATTACTTTCATATGAACATGTATGCTAGGTGTCTAAATAGGCTATACAAAAATGAATAGCAAAATCAGTTGGCCATTAAAATCAGATGAAGTGGAGTCTTAGCGGACTAAATTTGTCATGTGTAAATAAATACAAGTTTCATTGAAACGATAAATTTACATTTGTCCGGCAAATATGACGGTTTTGGAAGCCTTGAAGTGGACTAAATTTGCCATGTGTAAATAATATAAGTTTCATTGAAAAAACATGACTGTTTTGATTTCGTTTGAATTTAGGTCTACTGCACTGGTCTAATGCACAATAACAGCAATGATTTGTTTAGTGGCACCTCAGAGGAACCCTGTTGATAAACTTATAATATAGATACATTATAATATGTATCCCATATGGATTCAATACGAATATAAATATCAGGCTTTAAAATACCATTCTGATAGGTTGCTATCATAAAAGTAGTTTTCTTTATCACGAGGAATTTCCTGATTAACGCAAAAGTTGAAATGGATAAATTGAACTGCTAGCCTGTCGTTAAAAAAAATACTAGTCTGTTGGCATGATGAAACATTAGCCCAAGCAATCAGGCTAATACACATTAACGCTATTTAGTCAAATCTGGAAAAAAACGTCACTTAGACAACTTCCTGTTTGGGTCAAGTATTGCAAATACAAAGGTCACCAATAACGAGCTGAGAGAGAAAAAAGTTTAAAAAATGAAAATTTTGAAACTTTGATAGATAATGTTCCACTTTTCTTAAACACAAATAAAATCATAAAAACTGCTTTGTTCGAAGTGTTTACGATGATTAAAAAATGTCTTTTTGAAAAGTTTTTATGCATTTAGAACACTTTGTTTAAACAGGGCCCCAGATAGGTTCAACAATCAACTGGATGAAAAAGGTGTGTAATTTCAGAACTTATCCGGATTGAAATAAATAGCGATAAGGTGTATTGCTATTTTCAATATCTAGATTACTGGAAAACAGAAAAATTTCTGACACCGCCATGCTTAAAAGGGTCGCAATGGGGGTACCTTCATGACAAATAACGGTAAAAAATCTTGCCAAATGACGTTAACGGTAATTTTAGGTGCATGACTACAAAATGTACACTTTCTTTAAGACATTAAAAAAAGTCGACTGATTTTGACGAATCATGTTAATTTTTTTCCCCAAATAACGATAACGATAATTTTTTGAGACCTCTGACGAATCACAATAAGGTTATTTTGATGAATCACAGTAAAATTTTAACCAATTTGACGCTAACGGTAGCTGAAAATGACCATTTGACGCCTGACGGTAAAGGGCATTCCTACCCTCGCTTAAGTTAAGTGATTGTTGTATGACATCAATACCTCAAGTGGTGCCAAATCTCAGGTCAAGTGTTGCTCAATCAAATATAAAAAGGTCTTAATCTTGGAACTGAAATCATACATTGTACATGCAAGATTTTGATGTAATGTAAGCTTCAACATGTTCAAGGCCTAAAATTGAGTATTTTTTTTCTGTTTTGTCTTTTGACAAATAGAAATTAACAGTACATTTGTTGTACTATGCAGAACGTTTAAAAACATGTTTTTTTTTTCTTTAATATTGAAATTTGCGCGACATGTACAGTACAGTGTCAAATAACCAATGACTTGACATCGATCTGACCCAATTTTTTAGACTTGTGGTACACTGATTAAAATATATTAATTGTGTTTTGATTCATTAACTGTCAATCTTGACTAACGAGAAAGCAAGGCCTTAGGGTGCTGATAACATGAAATCAGTGTTGTTATTTACCTTTTAGTACGTGTGACAGTTTACAACTTGACGATGATAGAATTTCTAACGTCACCCAAGATAAAACCTTCCCTGATTGGTCAGTGTAAATATTTTCATCCAATGAAACCAAATTTTACTTTGTAAATAAATGCGGGCCTACAATATGGATGCGCCCATGAAAATAAGGATTATTTTTGCAAAATTGTCAAAATGAGTACCAATGTCGTGCAATATGTAGTTGTAAGACGTGATGTGCTTAAAACACTGAAATGGCCGGTGGGTGCATTGATTGCACAGGCCTGTCACGCATGTACTGCAGTAATGCACAATTTTTATAACCATCCAGACACACAGAACTATTTAAAAGATCTGGATAATATGCATAAAGTTATTTTAGAGGTATAATACATAACATTTTAAAGGCGTCACTAATAGTTTTACCAGACCTTATTTGAACAATGACCAATGCTACACGTTATGGGTTTTGCTCATTGTTGAAGGCCATACAGTGACCTACATTGTACATGTGTAGACTATAACTACTACACTATTTGGATTCTTATTGAGAGTTGTCTCATTGGCAATAATACCATATCTTTTAATTTTTATAAACATTTTAATTTGAGAATCCCCTATTACCTTGTAAATGGAACAAGATCCTTCATCAATGTAAGGTCTCGTGCTTTTCTCAATGACAATGATTGAAGGAAACAGCTGGGTATTTGGCAGTATTGGTTTTGATTCCAAGTTTGTCATTGCAGGTTTTCCGTTTATTGGTAATGCATTTGTATGGCATCCAGTCTACATTTGTAAAGTTCTCTTTTCTTCATTTTTTTGTCACCTGCGACAAAAGTTGCAGAATGCGAGAAAACTTAGTGCTGCAAATTCATACCTTGTATGCAGATACCTCATGTTACAAAGTTTTCGGTCTGTCATCATGGTCATATGTCCATTGTCCTTGACCTCATTGTCATGGTTCAGTGACTGCTTGCAAAAAATTACATTTTTTTAAAAGTGAAATACTCACTTATTTTATGATTATTGATAAATAGGATAACTATTTTTGGTATACATGGTATATGGGTTCCTTGCAAGGTCCACATATCCGTCAGGTAGGCTTCACCTGACCTCAACCTTAGGTTAAAGTTACGTAGTCAATTCGGTATCTCAGATACAATTAACAGTAGGTCAACTATATTTGGTGCATAAGGTGTATATGTCTGACTGGCAGGTTTCATCTGACCATGACCTCAATTTCATAGTCATTGAACAATGTTAGTTTTTGTGGTTTGGGCTACATTGTATTTCTCAGATACTATTTAAGAGGGCTAACTATCTGGTAGTAAGACTAGTCACATTTAGGCCAGGAACTTGGGAGGCAAAAACTTGCCTTAACCTGTTCCAATGCAGTGTTTTAAATGTTCCTCTTTGCACTTGTCCTATGTCATGGAAGTGCTCCTAGATAGGTGGGATATACATTGTATTATTATATGGAACACACATACAAACACGAAACTGTAAGTAGAGTCTTACCTTTTTAATCCCATGTCAAATTGAGTTAGCATTTTTTCTAATAGAACTAGCTGAAAAAAGTTATGTTGGCCGAAAGATCTTTTGGTTAATCAGTCTGCACCAAAATCTTCTCCAACTACTAGTCCAAGGATCAATATTCTGGTATTTTCTTATGTGTCTAAACAAAATTTAGAAAATACTAGTCCGAATAAAATTTTACTAGTCTCACTGTCTGGGGCATCAGACTAGTGGCTAACGGTGCAGACTGGTTAATTATGTCATTGGGTTGCGGTCTCATTTACCTAGACCACAATTCTCTTTTTAGTCATTCATCAATTGTGTGCCCAGTGGACATTTTTGTAAGAGCACAGACAACACTAGAAAATTAAAAGAGTTGAAATTATGATTATGAATTACTGTTGAAGGTAAATTAAACTAGAGGCTTTAAAGAGCCTGTGTTGCTCACCTTAGTCTATGTGCATATTCAACAAAGGACACACTCCATCATTGTAGACGAGAATAGAATTCATGACAAAAATCTCTGTTTTGTTGATCTTGTGTTGCTGATCATTTAGTCTGTTTAGTTTCTCTCTATCTTCTTTAGTTTTTGATCAAAACACAAAAGAGGGTAAAACAAATCCTCATTTGAGGGCAATCACTCCTATAAAGAGTGACAGTCTACTAACTATATCAGCGAAATTTGACTTGTTAGTAGATCTTGCCTTGCTGATCATTTTTGGGATTTAAAGTGTCTATTTATCTATTATAATTTTTATCATATAAGACAAAACGCAAAAAAAATGGTAAAAATCGTCATCAAAGGGCAATAACGCCAATAAGGAGTTGTTTGACAATTTCCTCCATTTTGTTTTAATTGTAGATCTGTCTTGCTGACCATTTTTGCTTATTTAAGTTTCTGTCTATCAAAATTTTTAAGATATAAGGCAAAAACGCAAAAAGTTGGGAAAAATCATCATGAAAGGGCAATAACTCTAATAAGGAGTCGACTGACGATTTTAACCATGCAGACTTATTTGTAGAACTTGTCTTGCGGATCATTTTTGCAATTTGAAGTTTCTATCTATTATAGTTTTCAAGATAATAGGCAAAAATGAAAAAAAAATGGTAAAATTTGTCTTTTAAGGGCAATAACTCCAATAAGAAGTTGTTGGACAGTTTTACGTACATGAACAATTGGTAGAGCTCAACATTTTGAACATTTCTGCTCTTGTCAGATTTTCTCTATTTATAATGGTTTCAAAATAATAGACAAAGCCTGCATTTTACCCCTATGTTCCATTTTTAGCCATGTCCACCATCTTGGTTGCAGGCGTGGTCATCGGCCACATTTTTTAAACTAGATACCCGAATAATGATTGTGGCCAAGTTTGGTTAAATTTGTGATGAGAAAAGCTCACTTGGCCCTTTGGGCCAGGTGAGCTCAAAAAAGGAGAAATTAGTTTAGTAAACAAAGTCCACTGCATAAATTTCTTCATCATGGTAAAAGGTAAAAGTTGGTGAAGCCAAAGGTTTTGCTTATTTAAGTTTCTGTCTATCAAAATTTTTAAGATATAAGGCAAAAACGCAAAAAGTTGGGAAAAATCATCATGAAAGGGCAATAACTCTAATAAGGAGTCGACTGACGATTTTGACCATGTAGACTTATTTGTAGAACTTGTCTTGCGGATCATTTTTGCAATTTGCATATATATATGTAAAAATGTTTAGTTTGTGCAGTTTAAACATAGCAAGCTTTAAGGGACAAGATACAATTAGGAAATCCAACTAGGTCTCTTTACATACCCTATATTACAATATATTTCATAGCAGGTAAAGTTTTTCCTACATTTAAACAAAGTCGGGTATGTATCTGAAAACAGTTACTCTAAGGATGTACTTAGGTGAAATTAAAAAATCTACAATTTAGAATTGATACTTTAAGTCAGAAGAGCATTAGTTAAGGAACAAAATAAGCTAAAAATATTGATAGGTTACGGAGCTCCTTTTTGAGATATTTAATTTTAAAAAGGCTGACACGGACTTCTACCTTATATTTGCATTGGTATTATTTGGGTCTCAAATCGAAGGAAAAGAAATCTAGAATCTGCTTAAATTTTAATAAATGACCTCATATAGCTATTGAAGTCTTATATGAAAAGAAAAATGGGTGTTATGGGGCAAAATATTTTACCCTGTATTGTAGGAAAAATACCAAGGAGTCCAAACATCTGACAAAAATTCCTAAACCTGACCTAAGTACATCCTTAAGTGACAAACTGTTCTGTAATTCAATCATATTGAGTTACTTTGATGCATTCTTTTTTCAGGCCAAAGATGAGGAGAGCTTAAGATCCTTGTCAAGTGTCCTAACAGAAAACAGTATAGACCATAAACTATGGATTGAACAACCAGAAAATATATCAACATGTATTGCAGTTAGACCTTACAACAAAGAAACAGTACAACAATTCTTTAAAGAATTTAAATTATTCAGATAAAACTGTTCTGCTTATTAGAATCTTGTTATTTTTAGCCAAAGTAAGAAAATTCTTTTGAAATGATACATAATTAGCAGTGTATATATATGATAATTAGCAGTGTATATGATAATTAGCAGTGTATATGAGCATAATTTTCTTCTTCCTTCCTGTTTAATAAGTGTCTATTGATACTTCTGTCACAGAACATATTACAATTATTTCTTTAAACAATGGTTCAAGCTTAGCTATTTGTCATTTTAACAAGGAATTTTTTGTTTTGGGGTCTCTGTCAGTTTCTGCTTGACAATGTTTGAATTTTTAAGATATCTACTGAGTGAAAAATCTTTCTTAAAGAGTAAGCATCCTTCTGGCAAACCTTTTTTTTTTCTTCAACCATTTTGTTGCCAGTCCTTCATAGGCTCATAATTATTTATTACACTCTTGATATCTTACTCGTTGATTTGGTATTCTATTTTACTCATGTTATTTATTAGTTGGGTATCTGTTAAGTGGTATTCTGGTTAATAAATGTATCTGGGAGAGTTCAGTATTTATTGAACATAATCAACCCCACTATATTTTATATACCTGTTAATGTATCAAGTCTGAGATCTTTTCAGTAGTTATTATCAACTCATGACTAAACTAGATGTGTCGAAACAACATGAATGGCCCGTCTCAAAATGTTGAAAATCTGCAATTTCAACAACACATGTAGACATAACATGCATGGATAGTATCCAGCTCTCAAGACCAATACTAGTTTGAGGAAAAATTTCCTTGATCAATGAGAAGTTAAATTTCAAACTATCAGCAAACAGGAAGTGGATGTACTGCAGATCTAACAAGATGTTTTGAAACGACATGAAAATCAGCATAGCAGAACGAAACATAAACTTGATTTGTAACTCATCATGGTAGACTCACATATAAAAAATCAGTGCAAAATCTGAAGGCTTATAAATACAAAAAAAGTCTGTATAACTGTGATTTTTAATCATTTTCAAAGTCCAAAACCTGTAATTTCAGCAAAAATCAACAGAGCGGAACAAAACTTAAACTCCATCTGTAACACATCATGCTTAACTCACATACCAAAATTCAGCCCAATATCTGAAGCATTTAGAAAAAAAGTCTGGATAACTGTGATTTTCAACAATTTATCAATGTCCAAAGTCCGTAATTTCGGCAAAAATTGGCAGAGCGGAACGAAACTTAAACTTGATTTGTAACTCATCATGGTTAACTCACATACTAAAAAATCGGCCGAATATCTGAAGGCGTATAGAAAAAAAATCCGTATAACTGTGATTTTCAACAATTTATCGAAGTCCAAAGCCCATATTTTGGGGAAAAATCAGCAGAGCGGAACGAAACTTAAACTTGATCTGTAACTCATCATGGTTAACTCACATACCAATAAAATGCTTCGCTCGGGCGCAGCTTGATACGACCGCAGAGGTCGAACCCTGAACAGTTGGGGCAAGTATGGACACAACATTCAAGCTTGATACAGCTCTGAATTTGGATTGTTATTAAATATTTGACACAGCATAGGTTTCTGACACAGAAAGAATGTAGTCTAAGAACTTGATTTTTTTTAATTTACCTATTATGGTCCAATGTCCAAAATCAAAATACATGGTTAGATTCAGCATATCAAAGAACCCCATATATTCCATTTTTGTTAAAATCAAACAAAGTTTAATTTTGGACCCCAACTTGGACAAACTTGAAAACTGGGCCCATAATCAAAAATCTAAACACATGTTTAGATTCAGCATATCAAAGAACCCCAAGAATTCAATTTTTGCTAAAATCAAACTAAGTTTAATTTTGGACCCTTTGGACCTTAATGTAGACCAATTTAAAAAACGGGACTTAAAATTAAAAATCTAAATACACGGTTAGATTTGGAATATCAAAGAACCCCAATAATTCAATTTTTGATGAAATCAAACAAAGTTTAATTTTGGACCCTTTTGACCTCAATATGAACCAATTTGATAGCGGGGCCCACAAATAAAAAATCTAAATTCATGGTTAGATTCAGCATATCAAAGAACCCCATATATTCAATTTTTGTTGAAATCAAAAAAAGTTTAATTTTGGACCCCAACTTGGACCAACTTGAAAACTGGGCCCATAATCAAAAATCTAAACACATGTTTAGATTCAGCATATCAAAGAACCCCAAGAATTCAATTTTTGTTAAAATCAAACTAAGTTTAATTTTGGACCCTTTGGACCTCAATGAAGACCAATTTAAAAAACGGGACCCAAATTAAAAATCTAAAAACACGGTTAGATTTGGCATATCAAAGAACCCCAATAATTCAATTTTCGATGAAATCAAACAAAGTTTAATTTTGGATCCTTTTGACCTCAATATGAACCAATTTGATAGCGGGGCCTACAAATAAAATATCTAAATACATGGTTAGATTCAGCATATCAAAGAACCTCATATATTCAATTTTTGTTGAAATCAAACAAAGTTTAATTTTGGACCCCAATTTGGACCAACTTGAAAACTGGGCCCATAATCAAAAATCTGAATACATGTTTAGATTCAGCATGTCAAAGAACCCCATATATTCAATTTTTGTTGAAATCAAACAAAGTTTAAATACTGGACCCTATCTTGGACCAACTTGAAAACTGGGCCCATAATCAAAAATCTAAACACATGTTTAGATTCAGCAAATCAATGAACCCCAAGAAATCAATTTTTGTCAAAATCAAACTAAGTTTAATTTTGGACCCTTTGGACCTCAATGTAGACCAATTTAAAAAACAGGTCCCAAAATTAAAAACCTAAATACACGGTTAGATTTGGAATATCAAAGAACCCCAATAATTCAATTTTAGATGAAATCAAACAAAGTTTAATTTTGGACCCTTTTGACCTCAATATGAACCAATTAGATAACGGGGTCCACAAATAAAAAATCTAAATACATGGTTAGATTCAGCATATCAAAGAACCCCATATATTCAATTTTTGTTGAAATCAAACAAAGTTTAATTTTGGACCCCAATTTGGACCAACTTGAAAACTGGGCCAAAAATCAAAAATCTAAATACATGTTTAGATTCAGCATATCAAAGAACCTCATATATTCAATTTTTGCTAAAATCAAACAAAGTTTAATTTTGGACCCTTTGGACATTAATGTAGACCAATTTGAAAACTGGACCCAAAATTAAAAATCTAAATACACTGTTAGATTCGGCATAACAAATAAATAAATGTGATCAAAGATTTTACAAATCTAATGCGCCATACTGTGCAATTAAAGATTACTTCTTGAAATTTTTCAATATTTGAAATTTGAAAAAAAAATAATATTTGAAGAATAATTCTTTTTAATTTCTGAAATCTGAAATGAGAAAAAATTGGCCCCCCACAATTTCTTTTTATCCCCCCCCCCCCTTTTTCCCCCAAAAAAATTCTTTCCCTCAAGATATGGTCATAATCTCAATTCAAATTTCCAATGGAGTTGGCAACCATAATTACCCATTTAAATTTACCATAGTGCTAACTTAATCTATTTTATAATAGAATTAATAAAAATATAGTGTCAAATCTTTCATATGGATTTTTTTGTAAAAAAAAAAGATGAAAACATTTGCAGATATTTTTACTGGTCTTCCTTTATAAAAATGCATTTCTTTAAACATAATTTAAAAGCAGTGTAAGGGAAGTAACCAAAACGTTGTATTTGGATTACCTCCCTTACACTGTTTTAGATTATCTTTATTGTTCATTAACCATTACTTTATACATAATTTAAAAGCAGTGTAAGGGAGATAATTTCAATGATGTATTTGATTTATCTCCCTTACACTGCTTTAAATTATGTTTTGTACTAAAGTATTTGTCCATTAACCAGGACAACCTTGTTTTTCCCCCTTTTTTGCCCCTAATTCCTAAACGGTTTGAGCCATAACCCCCCAAAGCAAATCCTAACCATCCCTTTGTGGTATGGAAACTTGTAGTATAATTTCAGAGAGATCCATACACCGTTCCACAGTTATTGTCTGGAAACTAGAAAATGCTCATTTTTGGCCCCTTTTTGGCCCCTAATTCCTTAACTGTTGGTACCATAACCCCCAAAATCAATCCCAACCTTCCTTTTGTGGTATTTAACCTTATGGTCAAATTTCAAAAAGATCCATTCACTTAAACTAAAGTTAGAGTGCGAAAACCAATATGTATTCGGACGACGACGCCGGACGACGACGACGACGACGACGACGCCAACGTCATACCAATATACGACCACAAAATTTTTTTGCGGTCGTATAAAAATCAGCCCAATGTCTGAAGGTGTTTAGAAAAAAATTGCGTATAATGGTTTGTTGCGGAATGATGGACAAGGGTAAAACTATATTGCCCGACAACTTTGTTGCAGGGCCATAAACACCAGTCCCATAATTGCTGTTTTTCATCTAAAAGTTGAAAGTCTTCAACTTAAAAGCAAAACCTACCACCTTTGAATACTGTATGTTGAAGATGACCAATAGTAGCAGCTTGAGAAGAATTTTTTGGCAGATGCCTACAATGCTACATATGTGCATTGAAAAACACAGACACAGGGTAATTTCAACAAATTTCAAACTACAATCATAGTAATAGACAAAGAAGTCATTATATTATCCTTTAGAATTCAGTTGCAACAAAACTAGGTGTCTGTTAAATTTAATTTACCTTTTCATTGAGTGTGTACTTTCAACAAATGTTGCAGACCAAATAGTGACCTCTAGAAGTCTTTGATGGTTACTTTGTGTAGTGGGTTGCTGTTTTATTGATAATTATCCCAGATCTTTTTAATTCACATCCAGCTTGTATCAGCTGAATATCCCAAGCAGCTGAACTACTGTGATTGGTTTGGAATCTATTTCACAATCAATATTAGGCCAATAAAAAAGACATCCAAGCCCACATTTAATCAGTAACAACAACAAAATATTTTATCACAAAACACAAAATTTCATCACATTGAATGTACAATGATAAACAGTAGGTTATCTCCCTGTCATAGCAAATTAAAGTTATCTCCCTTTATTGCAGGTTGATAATCCATATTGTTTCTCATACAAGAACAATCCGCTTTGGAATAAATAGTTAATATATTACAATTCTTGTATTTACATACATGTATGATCTGTACATAACTTGTAAGCCATTATTATGTTATTAGCACCATTCGTTTCAAATAAACCAAAATAAATAACATGTTTAAAATTCCTCACAAATTGATCATCTTTGATGAACTTTTCTCAAACGTATACAATTTATTAATTTATATTTTGAACAAATATAAAACTGTTGATAAAGGAGAAACTTTCTGTTGTACCAAAGTATTTGAATAGATTTTACAGTTGAATCTAACAGAGTTCTCGAAATTTTTTTTGCCTGGTGGTCCTTGAAGAAAAAATGCAGGTCCTCACTATCATTTCTATTGCAAATTACCAAAATTGTGTTGGTCCTTCCCGAAAATGTGGTGGTCAAATCCCTAGGACCACCACTTATCGAGAACTCTGATCTAATTAAATCTTTACCTGAAAACAAATGAGGAAGTTGTTTATGGTTACAAAAAACCATTGTATAGGTAATGTTTTAGAAAAATTGCAGCACAACACCAAAAAAAGTTCTATCACTTCATTGATGAAAATAAACACGAAGATTACATAGAATTAAGTACAGCATTACCACTGAACAAATTTATGTGGAAAAATTATATTGGAGTTTGATATTCTCAAAACTAATATTCTGGCCAACTTTTAAAAAAATTATCTTAAATACTTTAAATCTTCAGGTTTTCAATTAAATATATGTAAAATATTATCTATCTAAATCCCTATAATGCTAAATAACAATTTGAAATAAAAACTATATGTAATAATTAAGTCGGAGCAAGATTAACAAGATTGAAAACATAGCTATTTGATACCTAATGCATGCAAGGTTTAAATTCCAATACAAAATCATGTAAAATAAAGCAAGTAAGAAACCTGTTGTTAATCTGTTTTATTAAAAGAAAAATTGTGCACACTGGATAAAATGAGTTTGCAATATAAATGTCATGAACCTTTGAAATTTGTGCTATTCTCAACCCCTGGAAGTCCAATTATTCCAAGCAATAGCAACATGGTGAGAAAGGGAAATAACTTAAATTAGTTCAATAGAAAACCATCAATAACTGAAGCCTTCACACCTCCAATTCTTTCAATCTCCCCGGGGGATCTTAATAAGCAGAATATAACAATTTATCCAGATTATGGTTCATTTTTCTTGCAGGTCATGTTGGCATTATTTCTATGTACTTTTTTCAAGAAAAAGAGAACAATGACAATTTCAAAAGGTATACTATACTCAGTTAATTATTTTAACTATTTTGATTGCATGATTCAAAATTCAAAAGAAATTTGAAATACTGCAGGGAAGTCTTGAATGTTCTTCATAGGACTATCAGATGAAATGTAAGTTAGAGGTTTCGGGACCAGCATTACCTTTGAAGCTTTTATAATTCTTTTCAAAATTAAGATGTGATGCTTGTGGAGCAGTTTCATATTTTAGAAATTTAATTATTGAAAGTTGATACATGTATATAAAATGGGGTAGGGGAATCTGTTGGTCTAAAGATTGATGAAAATGCAGAGTAAAATATACTTCAATGACTCGGTGGAAAAAACACAACCATAAATTCAATCAACCTGTCGGTGGTCTCTCCAGGGCCTTTTAGCAACATGGGATGCTATCTGACACTGTTTACCCATAAAATTCATATATACAATCCTGGTTGAAATATCATCATGTTTCTAGACATAATACCATAAAAATATTTTCTTACTCTCTGGGTGTAAAACAGTAACTAGTTTTTCTATGAATAATTAATATACAGATTTTAAGTTCACATGGCCTGACCTTTCAATTCAAAGGTTATGGGAATTTCATGCAATGCAAAACTTATATACAATTTTTTTCAAATAAACAAATTGATAATTAAACTTTCAATTTAACTGAATAAATACAATAATTAAACTAATTCACATAAACAATATATGCTTTACAAATATTAAAAGCATAAAACAGACACAAAGAAAAATTTGAAAATTGCATTCCTGTGAAAAAACTTGAAATATCCTCAAATGTAAGTTTACTTATGACTGTTCCCAAACAAGGAACAGGATTTTTTGGATACTTAGCATAATTCATTCTGTAACCAATCATTTAACTTTTACATATTTCAGGTGATAAATTTTATATTCAGTGAGTAAGAAGAGAGGAGATATCCCTGAAACTCTTCAATCTTTCAACTCAGTAAATTATGCTGAATTATCCTCATCTAATGACAGTTGTATGAAACTGTCTCATACCTTGTATTGAATAATCTGCAATGCTACTTATAATTCATTTCCAGAATTCAACAAAATTTTAAAACATTTAAACAGTCTGATGGCAGATCATTAACAGTCTCTACATTAATAACTATCCTCGGGAAATTTAGAGCTTCACTGAAATGACATTTGTCTATTTCGAGGATGGTAAATTGTCCTCAAGATGGGTTCTTTTTATGTATATCCCACATATCTATTCATGAGGGTCTGGATGGGGGTCCTTCATTTCTGTATTCTTTAATTTTTTAGGTCATTTTTCTCTATTCATTATATTTTCTGCCCATTATTCTCTATTCTTTATATTTTAGCACCCCATTATTCTCTATTCTTTATATTTTAGCACCCCATTATTCTCTTTTCCTTATTTTTTTAGCCAGTTTTTCTCTATTCTTTATGCTTTTAGACCTTTATTCTACACCTTTTGCCGATTATTCTATAAATCCCACCCAGACCCTTATTCATACTGTCTAATCATTACAACTGCCATTGAATACAATAAGGAAATTCACATTCTCTTGTTATCTCCCTTTTTACAAACAATAAGTAAATCAGAAATTACACAATTAAAGTCAGTAATCAACACAATTACAGGAATCAATATAGAAATGGAATGATTTTTTAACTTGTCAGTACTTTACTTAATCCAAGTCACATTTGATTTTTAAATAATTGAAAGGAATGGAATTCATATTAAGACTAATTTCAAAATGCAAACAATATTATATTCAATAAATAGAGATATTACAATTTAAACGAAAGAACGCTTCAATATTATTTTTCTAGCAAAAGATGATAATTGAAATAAAAATCTATCATATGTATTTTAAAGACATTGCTTTTAAATAATTTATGCAACCTTAAAAACAAAATATATCTAAACAAACAAAAACTAAAAGAACTATAAAATACACATGCAGTAATACACTTTAAAATCTATTGTTTTTGAAACTCATAGAACCTACATAGGAATTTATTTGGGGTCTATGCTTGGAACTGCTTTGAAATTTTCTATTTCTTTCTCCCAACTAACACCCTCATATTCCTAACAGTAACAATTTTGAAATAAAACTTGCTAGAAATTTCACATACCCACTAAAATCAAACTTGCTAGTCAAAGTTCTAAATTTAGACACAAATAAATGACAAAAATTCCAATTCATATTTTTTAAAATAACCAAAATTGTGATAAAACATTTCCTGGCCTTAGTTACAAACTATACTATACATTAAAGGAAACTTTTGTACTTATTCATTATTATTTTCAACCACACAATATAACAGTAATCAGAACAAAAGTTAAACTTTCAGATTCCAACACATTAAAACATATTTTTCAAAGTGGAAGCAAGTCCCAGGTGATGTAATTCAAGATTGGATCTCATACAAGGATGAATTGATTATCTCAATTTTCTATGTACACATATGTTTACATTTTGTTTTAAATCATATATGAACATGTGAACTAATTCAAAGCATTTAAAAACATGAAACAAAGTTTTAATTAAACATATTAAATAACTTTGATAAACTTTCTATTTGATTATACAATGAGTAAACTGGAGATTTATTGTGTGGTGTTAATCTTAGGGGAAATAACTCGAAGTAAATCTCAGGGGAAATAACTCATGTGTATTTCAGGGGACATAACTGATGTGTATTTCAGTGGAAAACTACTATTTAAAACTTAAAATAAAGCACTTTACATTTAATAACAGCATTATAGCACATAATTGATAATGTTCTTTTAAAAAGATCAATAAATTAGTTCATTCTTGACTCTGCAGTACAGATGTTTAAGTTATTCCATTCTGCATCTTGCATAAATCAGTAACCAGGAACTTTGATCTGCTCTGATATAGAATCACACTTTCAAACCTTCTAAAGTAGCCACTCTGACAATGTCTGTATCCACTATTCTCTCTTAATCAAAGCTGTTGATTTTCATTTTGTTGATCACAAGATTGTTTTCACTTTCTTATTTTCTTGATCATATTTAATGTTTTTGCCATCATGGGAGCTTTTGAAACTGGCCTAGCTGTAAATGATAAAAAGCATATATTGTAGATTTGTCACTAACAATAAAATGGTTAAATACTGAAGACCTTGCAATTTTTACCAGTCCAATAATAAATGCATGCATTAATTTCTGAATTAACAGTACTGAAAACTTAATTGAATCACAAATGGATTTTTGTTCATTGTTCAATAATCACAATAAATATGCATGCAAAAAGTTGGATTTACAGTATTTTAAATTGTAGTGTATGCTAATGTAACAGCAGGGTTCTTTATTAGCCAATCTAATCAGAAGACTTATTTAAATGATATAGAAATGTAGAATTTTTGAAAGCACTGATGTATTACTGAGGTGGTGATTTTATGGTTAATCATAAGGCCAAATAAAAATATATGTGTGGTTCCAGTTCCCGACCGACCCCTATAACTTATTTTTCCATTTATGAACAAACGCAACAATATTAACTAAAGACCTAACATGTCTGTTTATTTAACAACCAAACAAAAGATTTTTTTACCAGATTTTGACAATCCTATAAAAAAAAAATTTTTAAATGCAGACCTACCGACCCTTTTTTTTTTCAGGATGTAACTAGAACCACACATATATTTTTATTTTACCTAATCAGCCATGTGATACTTCTACATATAAACTGATATAGCAACCTCTACAGTTATGTGATACTTACATTTTCCCAACGGGACAACATCCATCATGCCTGGTATGAATTTTTTAAACCTATCTCCTGTTATATTAACATTTGTACCATACTTTAGCTGCTGACGTCTGACTTCACGAGGTGGTTTGGCCATTGAATCTACATAGGCTAACTTTGTCTGTCGCACTAAAATAAACACATAATTTGAATTGTTTGCCACCATAAAAAATTGTGCTATTGTTTATAACTTATTACCTGGTTGAAAATATTTATTTAACTAGATAGCAAGAAAATTGTGAATTTCATGGAGATTTGATGTTTGAGAACACAGGCTGCTCGATTTATTGTGGGTGGTTGCATTTTCTTTAGTTTTTTGTATTATGGAAGGTGTAGGTCTAAAAAAAAAATTGCCTCCCATCCCCACATGCGTTTAAAACAGTCTTAAGACATTTTTTTTAATGAAGCCAACATGGTTTTCCAATTTGTCTCGAAATATCCTTTCTGAAAAAAAAATTTTGAAATGGACATTGCTGACATAAAATATAAAAATAAGAAGATATGGTATGATTGCCAATGAGACCATTCAACTCCACAGACCAATGACATGGAAGTTAGCAACTTTAAATCTGTGTTAAGCCAACATGATTTTTAGAAAAGACAATGTTCCAAAATTTGCCATTCTCAATAAAATATAGGAACCATCAACAAGCAACAACAGAAAAACAACTATTTCTATGGAGTAAATAAGATCATATATAGTTATTTTTTCATTAATAAACAACATTATCTGAAGTGCCCTGATTCCAGGGAAGCTATGGTCAGTGATGATTGTTAACAGCATCCATTTTCAATTTATTCTGTAACTAAAATATGGGGTTTTAATATTAATCGTTGGACAACATATAAGAAAAGCTAACACTGTCCACTTGTACCTGGATATCTTACTAGAGGCTCTAAAGAGCCTGTGTCGTTCACCTAGGTCTATGTGCATATTCAACAAAGGACACTCTCCAACATTGTAGACGAGAATAGAATTAATGACAAAAATCTCTGTTTTGTTGATCTTGTACTGCTGATCATCTAGTCTGTTTAGTTTCTCTCTATCTACTTTAGTTTATGCTCAAAACACAAAAGAGGGTAAAAAAATCCGCATATAAGGGCAATTTTTGCAGTTGAAAGTTTCTCCCTATCTACTATAATTTTCAAGATAATAGGCAAAAGTGAAAAAAAAAGAGGTAAAAATTTGACAATTTAAGGGCAATAACTCCTATAAGAAGTTGTCTGACAGATTTAATGTATATGAAAAATTGGTAGAGCTCAACAATCTAAACATTTTTGACCTCATCAGATTTTCTCTTTTTATAACTTATAATTTTCAAAATAATAGACAAAACTTGCATTTTACCCTATGTCCTTATTTTAGCCGTCTGCCATCTTGGTTGGCAGGCGGGGTCATCGGACACACTAAATACCGCAATGATGATTGTCGCCAAGTTTGGTTAAATTTGGTCCAGCAGTTTCTGAGAAGATTTTTGTAAAAGTTACCGACGCCATCGCTGGACACCAAGTGATGAGAAAAGCAATCATCTTTTAAAGGTAACAACTGTTAAGAGTAAATACTCTCTCTGAAGTCTTTCTGGATATCTATTCTTTAATAACACAAAAATGATTTTAGTTAAATACAATCGACAGATTACCTCCCTTAGATAACTTACATGGATCTTTCTTCACCTGAGCAGCAGAAATACTCTGTCGTATAGCTTTCAGTTTCTCTTCTCTCTCATCAGACTTCCTCTGCAAAAAATTGAAAAAAATACACTTCACTGCTTAACATTCAGCTCGAATAAAAAATGAATAATCCTGATAATTATATGTATATCTATACTACTAAAATAACAAAGTCCAATTTGTAAGCCGGCATAATGTAAAAACGACGAATCAAAGAATTCAACTCTATATGTAACTATTATAGGACAATGGTGTTGATTAAAAATTTCACCATTCCAGGCCCTTTTTGTTTTCCACATAATTAATATTACCAATAAATTAACAAGTTCTGGGTCGAATCAGATACCAATACCAATAGTATATGTCACCTGTTACATGTTACCTAATCTGTATGTTCGGTCTCTGTCAGGCGCACCACCAAACGGTGTAATTGGGATTTGCTATATACACGGGTCATAATCACACCTAAACTTCATCATTATACAGGGATTGACACTTCTAAATTCAATCATTGTCACATGTAGTTTCCGGTTGTAGTAAGAAAACCAGGATGGGTTCAAACAGAAAGATTTTGAAAGCATAGAAAACTGTGCACCTTATAATCAGCATGACTTTATCAGATGACAATACAAATACTAAAAATCCAGGCTCACACAGCTTATCTGCAGAATTGTACTCTAACACATTAGTGCAAGTCCACATGCTTGCTGGAGAAGAAGCATACATAAAACCGATTTACAAAAAAAGGAATTGGTTGGTAAGGGCAACATGTAATAAACTGCTTCGCTGAGCGCAGCTGGATACGCCCGCAGAGGTCCAACCCTGAACAGTTGGGGCAAAAATGGACACAATATTCAAGCTTGATACAGGTCTGAATTTGGATTGTAATTAAATATTTGACATATTATAGGTTTCTGAATAAATGTAGTCAAAGAACTTGAAATTGGTTATATGAATTGAATTTATATTCAATTACAGATTTCTTGCTGTTGCGCAATACTTAGTAAATCTGTTGTCAGACTATAAACAAATAAAATTTATAAAATTCGAAAGGGAGCTTACATCAATAGATATAATCAATTCACCAAAGTTTCATAAGAATTGCTGAAAGCATTTTTGAGTTATTGTCGGAAAACTGGAAAATCCCCCCTTTTTAAATGAATAAAACCCCATAACTCGGAAATGTAAAATCTAAAATTTATAAAATTCTAAAGGGAGCTTACATCAATAGATATCAACAATTCATCAAAGTTTTATGAGAACTGCTGAAAGCATTTTTGAGTTATTGTCCAAAAACTGGAAAATCCCCCTTTTTTTTATGAATAAAACCCTGTAACTTGGAAACGTAAAATCTAAAATTTATGAAAATCAAAAGGGAGCTCATGTCAATAGATATAAACAATTAACCAAAATTTCTTGCATGTTGGTGAAAGCATTCTTGAGTTATTGTCCGAAAACTGGAAAATCCCCCCTTTTTTAATGAATAAAACCCCATAACTCGGAAACGTAAAATCTAAAATTTATAAAAAACGAAAGGGAGCTCACGTCAATAGATATAAACAATTCACCAAAGTTTTATGCAAATTGGTTAAAGCGTTTTTGAGTTAATGTCCGACATGTTGACGACGGACGGACGGACAGACGGACGGACAACGGTATACCATAATACGTCCCGTAAACGGGCGTATAAAAATTAAAAAAAAATTATTCTATTAAAAAATTCAAATTGGTAGGTTAAGAGAAACATGAAGTTACTAAGGATTGTTAATCCTATGGTTATATGTTTTTTTTTAATTGTTTAAACGTTTCATGAAACAGTGGTGAAACTAATCTCTAATCTTTTAAAAATCTTCCTTTAATTAACACGCTGTAAAAATTTTGACCAGTCTAAAAATGCTGTAAAGAAGTAGATGCAGATACTGTCATAGTTTTTAATTTTCCAATTTTTCTTTGTTGGTTATCTCCCTTTAGCAGCTGGCATTTGCTGGAAAGAGGCATCTTCCACAGTAAACCAAATCAAATTTACCTGAGAGCAATTGATATTTTATGAAAGAAGGTTGAGTATCAACAATCAAAAAATAAAAAAAATAAATGGGGAATGTGTCCATGGGACACCAGTGCTCCAGCTAGAAATCAAAAGGGGCAGGGTGCTGGTGGAGGGCAGGGCACTTTTTTATGAAAGGAAAAGGCACTGCTCATTTCTTTTGTGTATGTTTCTGTGTGTATCACGAGTTCACATTCTTTTTTTTACTGTATATGTTGTTAATAAAGATGCACAAGTTGTTGTTTTGATTATTTATTCTATAAAATACTTTAATACTAGATAATATTTTAGGAGCACAAATTTGTAATAAGCTAAAACAGGGGAAGTAACTCAAAAATTAATTTCTAACACGTTTACTGTTTGCTTGTCGCTCACAAGTTGAGATATACGGCGTTTCTGTGAAGGCATAGTTGTATTTTGATGACTTAAATTCTATTCTAAAGTCATGAAAAGTCTTCATTTATACACTCTTCTTGGAGATCGAAAATGCTGACCCAAGCTAAAAACACTCGCTGACACATTCATCAAATTTATGACAAAAAGGTACATTGTCTTAATTAAATTACCTAGTTATTAACATCTTTGAAGTCTTATCCACTGTGATTGTAATGACATGATTAACCTGGGGGCAATCACCTGGTGTCATATATGTAATTTAACTTTGTGATAAGAAATCGATGAAACAAAAGGCAATTTTACCAAAACTGCACAAGGGTTTTTGGGAAAAAGGCGTTCAGGGCAGAAGGGCGCTGATGAAGGCACCCAGGGCACGGCGCCCTTCTATTTTGGGCTAACGAGACCACTGGACACAGATGATGCCCCCGCTTGCATATAACGTTATAAAGGGAGATAACTCTAGAACGGTAAAAGTGACGCCACCAAAATTCAAATTTGACCTTTGTTTTGTGGTAATAAGCATTGTGTATAAGTTTCATAACATTTGGTTGAGGCAAACTAATGTGAGAGAACGGAAACAAAATATTCAGCAATTAATCCATTTGTAAAGGGGGATAACTCTAGAACGGTAAAAATGATGCCACCAAAATTCAAATTTGACCTTTGTTTTGTGGTAATAAGCATTGTGTATAAGTTTCATAACATTTGGTTGAGGCAAACTAACGTGAGAGAACGGAAACAAAATATTCAGCAATTAATCCATTTGTAAAGGGGCATAACTCTAGAACGGTAAAAATGACGCCACCAAAATTCAAACTTGATCTGTGTTTTATGGTAATAAGCATTGTGTATAAGTTTCATAACATTTGGTTGAGGCAAACTAAAGTTAGAGAATGGAAACCAATTACATAGGGACAAGGGTAAAACTTAATGCCCCCTCCGCTATGACGGGGCATAAAAACATAGAAAAATTTTAAGCCTTTAAACTTTTGTTTTTACTATCAAAGGCATCCAAATATAGCCAAGTTGCCAATCTGCTTTTAGACAAATCTTATAAAAAGCAAATTCAGAACATTGGAGGCAGGACTTTCAACAGGTTTAATATATTCAATGAGTATACCCAGTATAATTCTCTCCATGATTCCATTTCTTCTTGATCAACACCTCGAAATTCTTTGTTACAATGCTGTTTCCATAAATAGTCTGTATCTTCAAGGAAATGCTGAAATTGAAATATTATTCATGAATCATATAATACAAGTACAATTCAGCAGTTAATACCATGTTATTATGTAGAAACTCAAAATTCATGAGATTCCCATTACTCATTTGATCATTTAATTCTATGTTTAGCTTATATAACAAAACTATCAACAACTATCGAACAAGTAGGGGTTTAGCTAGCTATAAAACCAGGTTTAACCCACCATTTTCTTTAGAAAATGTCTGTACCAAATCAGGATTATGATAGTTCTTTTCCATTTACTCTGTTGGTTGATATAGTCTAACTTTATTTTGTTAGGTTTTATGGACTTTCCCCCTTTTTATACGACCGCAAAAAAATTTTGTGGTCGTATATTGGTATGACGTTGGCGTCGTCGTCGTAAAAAAATGTGGAAAATTGATTATTTGAGCGAATTTTCTAAGTTCAAGGACCATAACTCTGCACAAAACCATCAGACCGGAACAAAATTTGAACTTGATCTGTAACTTGTCATGATAAAACAATACACCAGATATCAAATGAATATCTTCAAACACGAAGAAAAAAGTGTGGAAAACTGATTTGTCGGTCGACTTCGTCGGCAAATTTCTGACCGGTTATACAGTTTGGTTTTATAAAACAAATTGCAATTTGGTCAGAATTTTGAATAAATTGCAATAGGTGGAGAGCAACACTTACAGTCAAGTCACAGTAATAGGATTGATTGACATTACTTTTGTTATTTTACTTACTTTGTTACTTAACTTCAGTGGAAAATATTTCATACTCATTGTAAAGAGGAAATGGTGCATCAGTTCAGGACACAAAATCCCTACACACATTTGACAAGAGTAAAAGCAGAGGATTAAACTTAATTTGGAATTTTATTTTGGTCATTTGCATTTGAAATCAGCCAGGACTGTCAAATAATACTGGACCCTAGATGTGTAGTCAAAAGTTGGTGGATCAGCTGCAGATAATATGAAAATAAGTGCCTCAATTCTGTAATTCTGAGAGCTGGTCAGGGGTGGCAATCATAACACAACTTTTTTTTATAAGTGTACTTCAGGGCAATTTTTTTATTTTATTTGTTTATATATACAGTACATAAAATTTCCAAAAATATGTTGGACTCTAATTTTTCAAAATCTTAGCAAAAGGGGAGATAACTCACAGGATTATAATCTTCGAGTCTGTATAAATCATTAGGTGTACATTTCTCCAGCACAGGCTTCAATATGTAGAATGGCACACCACCAACATAGTCTAAACCTATAATAAACAAAACTTAAGGTTAAATAAACTGTAAATACTAATTTATACATTTTTTGATGCCAACAATGTCATAAGAAGGTTTGGAAAAACCAGGGTTTTATTAGTTTTGACAAGCAAAGCTGACTCATTTATCATTATTTCATAGAGAAAGTCAACTGAAAGTTTAATACCTAATCTTATCTCGAATTAGTTTTCTAATTTTATTTTGTCGTAAAGATTTAATTTATAAAATTAAGGCACTATTTTTTTTTCTTCCCACTTTTTGACTTGCATGGCAAAAATAGCGCATCCCTGGACTTGGCGTGGCCAAAAATGGACTCATCTACAAAAATTCTTAATGGTAATTATGCCAGATTTGCATATTTTTATATGTAATGTTATCCAAACACTGCTAATGATCATTGACATTTTTGTATTATATTAATATCCTGAAAGTCATGATAGTTTTGTGTCCTGCTCATACGCTTTCTTTCCTTTAACAATGTGTAAGCAAATGTAGTTATCGAAGCAGTTTAAAAAATAACAAATACTTGTCTTTTGTGGGACAATTAATGTCAGAATTGGCTTTATATAAACATCCTTTGTTCCAAAATATTTGTTCAACTACTCTTGTATATATATACATATGTATGAATCTTCATTGTATATATATATATGTATCTTTAAACAAAGTACTGTGGATTCATTAATTTTCGTGGGTATCGTTTTGGGGATTGAGGAAATCTTGCATTATCGTGGATATCTAATTTTGTGGTTTTGCCAAAGTCTGCATACATACCAATAGAAAATTTGTAATCGTTTGAACATTTAAATTCGTGATTTACCTGTACCCACGAAATCCATGAAAATTGGTATCACATGGATAATAATGAATCCACATTACTATGTCAATAAATCATTTGTCCCACACTCAGTTTTAACTTACTGTCTATGTTGTTCATTAGAATCTGCATACATATATCTTGAAGTTTGTACACCTCTGTAATAAAAAAAAACCAAAATGCTTGTACAACAGTAATATCATCATTTATTAAAATACTAATGTTTCTAAGATCAAGGTGTTTACATTTTCATCCTATAGTCTCTTGTGGAAAGTTGTCTCATTGGCAATCATACCACATATCCTTATTCCATGTGTTCTTATTTCATAGAGTAAATGCTTTTTTAAACTGACATTTTTCTATGTATCCTTTGTTGCTCCTCTGGTTGAACTTAAAAGGGAGTATTTAGTGCTTTAGCCCCACCACACATTCACTTGTCCACACCAAATCAACAATCTTGTCAGCAGTTGTCTTAAGTTTAGCAATATATCTTAAAGATATTCTGTCCTGACATGTCCGTTAGCTGTATTTTTTTTCTACACCTCAGCTTTTATTCAGGGCATGGGCCTTAAATGGGACATTTTAATCTTCATTGTGTTTTATGGCCTTAAACAGTGCATTTAAATGACAAGTTAAATGTTTGTGAAGGGTAAATTTCACTGTAAAATGTCTATAACCAAAAAAGTGAAAATTTGACACTAAATTAAAATTTCCTGATATATACATTATGATCTTCGATAGTCTCTTTTCAATTTATTCACTTCCTGTCTAGGCTCTTGATGATTTAGAGCTTTCTATATATATTGTCTAATATTGTCTGTTGCATGTATTGTTGATGAACATATATTTACTTCTAGATATCTAGATATATTTGGACATTTTATTGATTTGCTGACTCACTGATTTTAACCCCCTATCTTTTTTTATAAATAATCGTGTATACAAACTGTACAAACGAACCTGGAACTACAGTTGATTTCTTTCCAGAGTACACCTTTGTCCTATCATAGGTCTTCAGTCCAATCACAGACTCGTCAAAAAAAGAACCTAAAAAAAATTATATCAGTTACTTGTTTGAAAGTCATTCTGACCTTGAGTCAGTGTGTAATACATTCATTAAGCATCATGCATATTTTTTTTTCAGGAGAGAAAGTTTTATGCAGTTTAGTTTACAACTGGATTTATCTTTCACATGCTGTCTCAGTGTATGATACAGAATCCATTTAAGTCATGCAAGTATCATGCACATTTTTTAAGAAAGCTTCTGCAATTAAACATTGTTAATTTTACAACAGGTTATATTTTGTAAGTCCTTGTGGCAAAAAAGTTTATAAATATATGAAATGGTCACAGGTAAGAAAGCATACCCGGATGAAATAGTTCAGTGTTGATGAAAATTTTGATCTAGATATGATTTTTTTAAAAATACTGTACTGTATTGGATTTCAAAGGTTATTATGGCCATGTGATTGAGGTTGGGCCCATATAGTGTTACCCTTATCTGTCGTTCTGTCATTCCGTAAAGAACAGTTATAAAGACTTTTTTTAAATGCATTCACATATTGAGCTGATTTTTAGTATGTGAGTTTATTATGATGAGTTACAGATCAAGTTTACATTAGGTTCCACTCCACTGATTTCAGCCAAAATTAATTGAACTTTGAAAATTTCTAGAAAATAACAGTGATAGACTTTTTTCTAAACCCCTTCAAATACTGAGCTGATTTTTAGTATGTGAGTCTACTATAATGGGTTACAGATCGAGTTTACGTTTGGTTCTGCTCCACCTATTTTTGCGGAAATTACAGGTCGGACTTTGAAAATTTCCTCTCCTAAAAATGGTTTCAAGCTTTTTTTGCAAGTGGGGCCATTCGTGTCATTTCTGCACATCTGGTTTTTATCTGGTTTATGGAGATTATTGATTCGTAACCTGTTTATTTAGTCCAGGTTTTGATTGATTCTGTGAAGAATAATACATACATGTATACATTCATTTATATTTGCGAGTATGAATTTCGTGGATTGAGCATGCTGAGGGAAAGTTATATTTTCGTGGATATTTGATTTTGTGGTTTTGCCAGTTAAGATTGTATACTTTATTGAACATTTAGATTTGTGGTTTACCTTTACCCACACAATCTTTGAAAATTGGTATCCAACAAACATTGACAAATAATAATAAATCGTCAGTTTTCCGTATCAACGATTTTTTTCCAATATAATCTTTTAATATTATTATAGCAAATATCACCTTTTTTAATTTCATCTGGTGGTGGTACATATTTCTTTGGTTTATAGTCAGGCATTGGTTCTGGTAGACCACTAGGGAAACTCTCCAGTTTTATCTGCAAATAATAATCAAAAACAGTTATAAAAGTCAATAAAGGAAATATTTCCATATTGGTAATATTTTAGTTGGTTTTTTTTTATGAATTGGATTTTGAATATATACACCTGAAGAAAAGTTATATTCACCCCGTCACATGCTTTTACATGTAAAGTTATTGGTAAAATGTTTGATATAGAGTTGGTTTTTGGGTAAATAATTTTCATTCAATACTGGGATTATTTTCTCTCAGAACTATATCATGTATATATTGTCACTTGAACCAAGACTGCTTCATATGACCTTCATGCCCTTTAATGCGTTAGGGAAAAGTCCTGCATAATGAAAGACCTTTTTTTTCTTGAATAAAACTGTTTATTAATACATTTTGTAAAAAGGTCAATTCATCAATATGTCATGTATGTACACTGTACTGCATATTGTCTGCACATTAACTTCATTATTTAATAACAATATTAGCAATAACTGTGAAAAATCATCACTGAGAGTGATCCTCAGAGGAACCACGTTCACTAGGTCTGTAATGTACATCACGAGCTTCAATTCTTAGTTTCCGCAAGTAAATATCAATATATCAAAACTTTTATCAAAACTGAAACCAAATGAGTCATTTTTGGTCTAGCCATTTGCTCTGAGTCACTGAGGTAAACTGTCAGCTCAGTTTGGCTTTAAAACCCTTTAAAAACTATTTTTATTGATCTAATGCTGATGTCATTTGGATTTTCTTGGCCGTTATATTAACAAATATACCCTCCAAATTTTCTCTTATAACATGTACATGATGTATAATACATACCTGCTTAGTAACTGGCTTTTCCACCTCTGTTTCAGCTTTCCTTTTACTACTGCTATGCTGATATTTGTCTGGTTTTTCCTGCTTAATCTTTACAGAGTTGTTTCCCTTCACATCAGATTTACTACCCTTGTTGTCTGAAGACTTACTCCCTGTTGATTTATCCCCTTCTGTTCCCTTCTTTTTTATTTTGAATTTTGATATTAACTCTACATATTTGCTGTCTACCTCTCTTTTCTTCACTTTCTTTTTCTGGTCTCCCAACAATATATCATCAAAAGACTTCCCTGAGCTGTTTGATTTGCCACTTGTCTTTTGAGATTTTGAAGATTTGTGTTTTTCGTTTTCACTTGAAATCTTGCGCTTTTTACTCTCTGATTTATCAGTATCACGACTAGAACTATGGCTTGAGGATTTTTTAAGTTTGTTTCTACTTCCTGACGGTAGAGGTAACAGCGGACTGTCATATCCATCAGTTAATCCATTTTCTAACAAAGAATCTGCAAAACCATCAAAGTCATCCAGACTATAGTTTTTTGCTTCATGATCGATATATTTCATCCGTTCATTCACACTTTTTTCTATATCCTCAAATGAAAAACTTTCCTCCAAATTTTCATTATAATTATCATTTTCCAAATCACCAATGCTCCAAGTATTTTCCATAGGTTTGTTCTTATTCTCCTCTTCATGTTTTTGTTCACATTCAGTCAAATCATTTCCATCTGATTCTATTGATTGTGAAGATTTTACTTTTTCTTCACAATTTGAGATTATATTCTTTGCCAGTTCTGCCATGATGTCACTTGCACTCTTAGGTTTATCTGATTTTTTATTTGCTTTTTCATCTGAATCTCTTTTGTGTTTATCAGAGTGGCTAGAATGACTATGATGTTTATCTTTTTTATCAGATTCAATTCGATCCTTGTGTTTAGAGTCAGAACTACTACGATGTTTATGAGTCTTGTCTGATTCACTTTGATGCTTGTGAGCAGAATCACTACTATGTTTGTGCTTATCATCCTTCTCATTCTTTTTGTCTTTCTCTCTTTTATCAGAGTCTTTGCTTTTTCTATCAGATTCAGAGCTGTGCTTCGATCCCGAGTGATGATGTTTATCACTACTAGAACTAGAGTGTTTTTTATCAGACCTACTTTTATCAGTTGACTCAGATCTCTCTTTTCTGTGATTGTTTTCTGAACTGTTCTTTGTATCTTTCTTTTCACTAGATTTATGAGATCGTTCATGTCCACTTTTCTCACAGCTGTGTTTTTTATCAGAATGATCTTTACTAGATTCACGACTACTACGATGTTTTTCATTTGAATTTTTTTCACTTCTTATATCACTTTTTTCACTACTAGAATGCTTTTCGTCTTTTTTATCACTTTTTTCACTACCAGAATGCTTTTCATCTTTTTTCCTTTCTTTTTCATGATGATCACTGTTTTTATGGCTACTTTCGCTCCTATGAGTATGTTTTTCACTTGAACTTACAGATTGTTTTTCACTCTTTTCCTCCTTATTACTTCTGCTACTTTCACTATGTTTTTTATCAGAATTTTTTTCACTTGAATGTTTATTTTCATCTTTGCTACTTTTATCTGACTTGTGATTACCAATCCCGTGTTTTTTATCAGAACCACTTTGCTCACTTTTACGATCTTTATCACTTGAGTGTTTAACATCTTTATCACCAGAACGTTTATGATCAGTATCACTTTTATGTCTGTTATCAGAGCTACTTTCGTGATTTGTCTCACTACTTCTACTTTTGTGTTCTTTTTCTGAATGTTTACTGTCAGATTTTTCCTTGGAACTTTTGTGACTATCACTTCGATGACTACTTTCAGATTTCTTGTCATCTTTGCTACTTTTATGGCTATCACTACTATACTTCTCTTTCGTATCATCTAGTTTTTTTTCCTTATTGTCTTTCTTGTCCGATTTTATATCACTTTTGTCACTAGAATGTTTACTCTTGTTCTGACTATGTCTGTGCTTTTCCTCTGTATGTTTGTCCCTGTGCTGTTTATCATCATTTTTATCCTGAGAATGTTTTTTATCAGACTTGCTTTCACTTTGATGTTTTTGATCTGTATCACTAGAGTGCTTTTTATCAGATGAGCGATGACTTGTGTGGGATGATTTGTGTTCTTTATGAGATTTTTCAGATTTGTTGTCATTAATACTCTCATGTTTTTCACTTTTACTTGATTTGTGTTTTTCTATTTCATGTCTTTTATCCCTATCTTTAGATGACTCATGTCTTTGAGTGGCCTTTTCATGTTTACTTTCTGCTTTTTTATCATGGTGGTTTTTAGACCTACTATCACCCTCAACATTTTTCCTATGTCGATTTTCTTTTTCCACATGACTATCATCACTAGATTCATTATCAGGTGATGGAGATCTACTTCCTGACTGGTTGCTGCCAGGTGATTGAGATCTGGAAGATGATTGGTCTTCTTCAGGTGAAGGTGACCTTTGTTCTGAATTATTACTTCCAGGTGACTCTGATCCTCTTTCTGATTGGTCATTTTGATCTTCAGCCTCATTTTCCTTTTCCAATCGTATAGCTTCTTCAGCAACCATCATCTTCCATTTAAAGACCAATGCTTTAGCATACATCCCCACCTCACCATCTTCCTTTCTAAATCCATTTACAGTCTTTCCAATACCAGTTGCCTTTAAAAAATAACAATACTAGATTATTACATGTGCTGCAAAGAATTATTGTGACTTCCATGTCAAATAAATAGATAAACATATTTTACAAGTGAAATCCTTTATTTTATCTCCTCTGACAAGTTATACACAATAGCTGTTTTCAAAACATTGTCAGCAAAGTTGCATCAAATGGGGTGTGAATATGTAGAAAAAGAAATAATTCCTTGCATTTTTTTAAACACTTGAATTCTTAGATTAGTTATTCAACAATAGACCACTTTCGAGTTCATCCTTCACCGGAAAAAACTCGTCAATTATGCGCGCCTTTATGACGTCATTTACCAGATAGAGGGGATTGCCTGTATCCCTGCAATATTAACGTTCATCAAGCGTCTTAGTGATCGTCATTGTGCAGGATAAACTAGAAATAATGTTTGTTTTGTAAGTACTTAATCACAATTCCCTAATGACAGTAGTGCTGATTGTCAATTATGAGAATTTAATTTGCCGAATAATTCGTGCAATATAACATTATAGTTTCCCAACCACTTGCTCAACATTAGAACGGAAGTGACGATGCCCCTAAACGCACGAATGATGTTCACTAAAACCAGAGTTTTTGACGGAAATGCATCGAACTCGAAAGTTGTCTATTCATTTAGAATTTCAAATACAAATACATGAAGTAATTTCTTCGTCAACTGTAGTACTAGTGAGAGCAAAACATGAAGCTGGAGAATTGGTACACACATCAATTTGATAATGTGTTACATGAATCTAATTATAAACTATTTGACATGTAACATATTAAGATATTTTATAGTCTTCACATCAAGTTGATATTAGAATCCCTGGAGAACTGCATGTACATTTATTGGTAGATCTGTTAGTAACTTACCTGAAGAACATCAACAGTTATCAGTAAAGCTAATAGTCACTTACCTGAAGAAAATTCACAGTTATCGGTAAATCCGATAGACACTTACCTGAAGAACATCAACAGTTATTGGTAAATCTGATAGTCTTCTAACAATGTGAAGCACCTGCAAGTACATAAAGTATATTAAATCAAATTTGAGGTCATTGTTATCTTATTGTTTAATTTTTTAAAAAGGAAATTCTTAAATGACCAAAAAAATATGTAAACATTATGTTCATTATGATTATTTTGGAGTACTGTGGATTCATCATTATTTGTTGGATACCAATTTTTGAGGATTTCGTGGGTACCCGTGAATCACGAAATTAAATGTCAAGGAATAATAAATTTTCTATAGCCTTGTATGCGGAATTCGGCAAAACCACAGAATTAAATATCCATGAACATGTAAGTTTTCCTTAATCCACGAAAATTGGTACCCACAAAAATAAATAAATACAGAGTATTGATATACAGACAAGTGATTTGTATTTTGATGGAGACTAACTGAATTCCCCTTATCATAGATTTATTGAATTCTAATTGATTGCAAAGCTTCATAAAGATCCAAGCAACACCACTTTATATATCTTTATATATCATGTATATGTTAGCTGATAAGTAGAAAACAAAACACAGGCTTGCCTTGCTATGAATGAACTGACTGAAGGTGTGATAAAAGCTGCTAAATCAGCTGCTGTTATGTACAACAACCCAAAATCTAACTAAATGTCTACTTTTCAGTGCTAACCTGCTTAGTTATACAGAACGCTTTTTTTTCATAAAAAAACTCTGGTTCAAGGTGTGCTAAAACATTAGAATTTTCCAGACTGCATTTTGTGGATATTACTTTAAATGATTCAATGCCATGGGCAGCCAAATCAGAAAATCTCTTTGACACATATGCACATGTAAAAAAGTCATGTTGAACACAGAGTCCCAAAAGGGATTTACCTATGTAATTTTGGTGTTAAAAGGGAAAATGTTGCCATTTCCATGAACAATGATGAAGGTGTGTGCCATGACAGCAATTATGATGAAATACAAAATTTAATTTTTCATCACTGTAAATTGAAACCCAAGTTTGTGTGTAGCACCCATTTATCATGTTTATGAGGATCTTCCACAACCAATTTATTACAAGTGATATTTTTGGCATGAAACATTAATCAAAGCGCTGTAAGCGCTGAGGCAGTTAACCAAAAACCAAGGCAAACGTAATTATGAAAACTGTGGCAATGTTGCTTCAACATTTAACATTCATATATTGTACATTTATGTTTATCTACCGGTAATGAATTAATTATTAAGGCAAATAATTTATATGTTATCAAACAGTAGGGGTGGGTGACCCCATGGACTCCCCCTATATTTCATTTGATAAGTTATATTGTCCCATACTTGAATATATATGGTTTAGGGGTGGGGATCCCAACCGTTTCAAAAGTTCCCAAACAGGAGGGGGTGGGTGACCCCAGGAACTCCCCTATATTTAATTTCATTTTAGTTATATAGCCATCCCATACATGAATGTATATGGTTGAGAGGTGGGGATCTCATCCGTATCAAAGTTATCAAACAGGAGGGGTAGAGTGGCCCAAAGGACGCCACCTATATATCATATGATTTGCTTACATTCAGGTACCCAATATACCGGTAGTTGCATTATTTGTGAAAATGAAGTAAGAAACTTCCAGCTACTTTAACCAGAGACATATAACCATCCAAATTTAGAAAACTATACCCCTTCAAAATTGCAGTAATATGTTTACACTTTAAAAGCATCTTACATGCATTATCAACATTTATCACTGATAAAGAAAATTTATACTGTGACCAGGAACATATATATTGTTAGATATACTGTGACCAGCTGTCACATTGTATTGGATTTTGACATTAAAATTTGTCAAAAGGTAATTTTGAGTTTCTGTATAAAATATTTTCTGCTTTTTCTTTCTTTTACATATATCTTTTGGTTTTCAATTCTAGTGTTTATATTCATTTACCATGCATAGATATATTTTGTCACCTGCCTGGATTTTTTTTTTTAGTTGATTGCCAAAACCCGGAATTACCCATATCCGCTTCCGGAGTGGATCCGATATTATAATTGTCTTCACGGCATCCATTGTCATTGTGTTTACAATGTTGTTTTTGTCAGTCAGATACGATTTTACTCGAATTTACACATTATTTGTCGGCGACTTTCTGTATAAAGCTAGCGGTTGAACAAAATGAACGTCGCTGTCATAAATAATAATGATGAAAATAAGTTTTGAGATCGTTTATTTGGAGACTTTGGTGAAAAGGTTTGCAAAGTTATTTTTTATTTTCTTTCAAGTGGAAGGTCTGTCGGGCGTAGCTAGTAACCAAGTCGAAAGTCCTATTACAAAAGTGGAAGGTCGCGGACCTCGGACCACCGCTAGTTTAAACCCCTGCCTCCAAATTAAAAAGATACGAAAATTTCGTCTACTAATTTGAAATTACCGCCAACAGCATGAACAGTTAAACTTATTATATAATAGGCTACTGACGTAGTTGTACTACGTATTGACGACAAACAATATTCCTACGACTTTTGCCATTTGGGAAATCTAAACTACTTGTCTTTAGAGATTTTCGGTGATTAAATATTTCATACAATTGTTCTTTGACATCTTAGCCAAAAGCACAGGCGATAATAAACTACATAAGGATTCCTAATGAGCACTACTTCCTATGTGCAACTTCAAAACTTTTGGGTGATTCGACGATCATTTAAGGTTTTTCTGGTCATATTTTTTGTAATCCAGAATTAAAAGTATTAAAAAAGTGTTCAATTAGTTATATATAACATAGTAGCCAGCTAGATAATAACAATGGCAAGTATTTTAGCATTTATTGGGTAGGACACAAATCTAGGGTGCTCGCATAATGCAGCTTAACTGCATAAAAATGGTGAACAATTGTCGCCACTAAAACATTTTTGTTCTTTACTGCATTTTGCCTTATTCAAAACTTAGTTTAATTGTACTTACATGACTCACATGAGCAACACAACAGGTGCAATATAAATGTGGAGCAGAATCTGCTTACCCTTCAAGAGCACCTGTTATCAACCTTGATGTTTGATGGGGTTTGTGTTGTTCAGTCTTTAGATTTCTATGTTGTGTTTTGTGTACTGTTTGTCTTTTTGTCGTTTTTCATTTTTGCCATGGCATTGTCAATATGCCAGTTCCGAAATATGGTAGTTATTTATATCTGTCATGTGACTATCATCACCACGTGACCAAAATGTAGGCATCATCACTTCCAACACATGTTGAGCAAATGGGTGAAAAAGTTTGATGTTATACTGCATGAAACATTCAGGAAATAAAAATATAATTAGTCGCCTTCCCTTTGGTCGTAAGAGACATTGACATTACGTACATGTACCTATGGAACATAAATTATTTCTAGACTAAGATTATCCTGCAGATGACAATCCTGAAGATGCTTGAAACTTTAATAAGTGCAGGGATACAGGCGAGCCTTCCATCTGGTAAATGAAGTCATAAGAGAGTGCATAATTGACGATAATTTCTGTTGACATGATTAGAGAAATAGCCTAATTAGTTTTGACTTATGAGTTTGAGTATACTTTTGGTATCTTTCACCTTTCTTTTAGCAAGATATTTCATTTCAGTCCAAGGTTGCAATTATGGACCCTTAAATTTCCTCAACAAGACAATATTTAACTGTTTAACTTTAATAGAAATGTCAGTTAACAGGTAAAGTGTGCAACAGGGAAATAGAGTAGTCCTAATAATTATGACGTCTTGAAAAGCCTTTCAAGAGGTCATAATTATTTGGACTAGGAAATATAGGTGACTGTGGTATCCCTGTGTTCTACAAGGAGGCTGTGCTTTAATATAGTCATGCTGTTGTAGGAATATCTGGAACAAATACGGTTCATCTCTAAAGTCGAAGTAGTTTCAACCTTTTAGCATGTTTGAAGTTTGCACTTGGAAATTTTAAACCGATATCAAAAGCCTGTCACTTTTAATTATATAGAATTTTTGACAGCATTTTAAAAAAGGTTCGGGTTATTTGAAATGTACCTTGTCTGTATCATTTTTGCTTGCATTTAAATACGATTTGTACTTTAAAACTTTGTTGGTTATGTCAGCCATCCCATCTGTTTTCGTGTCGATGTCGAGCTAGTCAAAATAGAAATTTATCAACTTCCGGTTTCCATTTGGGGCTCTCAAGGGGACATTCATTATCACAAATTACCATAATGCTTAAAATGGGCTTTTTATTATTGGATTATTTTCTATACTATATTTAACTATTTTGATGAAACGAAATAGTGGCTGTGAAAATAAACATTTAAATCTCAAAATAATATAATTTGATTTGTGGCAGACAGGTTTATTATGTTGTAATAGGAATGGATTATTTCCCTTTTCATTACTTAATTATTCAGGCTGTTAATTGATTTGCTTGTTAATATTTCATTTAATTTGACTTATTCTATTTAGTATTCATATATTGAGCAAGACTGACATTTGTGTTCCTTAATTTATTCTTTTTGGCGTTTGCGATAATTTTGCAATGTTATTTATTTTTGCTTACCATTTTGAAAGAAGTTATTTTTAAAAAATGAAATAATTAAGATATTTGAATATAAATTACCGACCGTGCAAGGGCTGTATAGCCAGTCAAGGTCGTTAAAACTTCCATTTGTTAATATAAACTAAATGCATAAAGACGAGTTGCTTGTCTGAGTGCGATGCACATTAAAAGGAACTACAATGAGTATACCTGGGTTTGCATTAATGTTTCCAAGGGATTCTGTCTATATGTTACTAAGATGTTTTGATGTGTTAAATGTAGAATCGAATATGTCTTTACTGTCTTTTTATTATATTGTTATTTGTTTTGCTGCTTTGAGTATTAATTGAAGTGCCTTGGAATATACCCCATACACTGTATCCAGAACCATCCCCTCACATTTTGGTCCCGCGAGGCGGATACAGTTGTTCCTGTGGTATATTGTTTATAAGTTTGATTCATTTTTTAAAATTTATATATTTTTCTGGTCATGTTTCGGTTTGAAGAAAAACCTTGTTTGTTCGATGGTGTCAGCATTGATGTTATAGATTATGTGGTTCATTTTGAAACTGTTTCATTATGGAATCAGTGGACTTAGTTTGAAATGGCTTGTCAACTTATCATTAATTTGCGAGGTGAGGCTCAGACAGTTTTACGTTTTCTAGAGAAGAAACATATGCAATATATATCAAAGGTTTAACCCCAAGGAAAGGGAAGCATTTTTCAAAATTGAACTGAAAAATTGTCATATGACGAAAAAGGAGAGTGGAAATATTTCTGAGTTTGGTCAGCAGTTCAAAATTTTGGCACACAAGGCATATCCCGAGAGTTATTTTGATTTGAATTTGTATTTGGTTGATTTATTGATTTCAAAATTGGACAGTGAAATGGGGAAACATGTCGCTCTGAAACACCCCAATTGTTTGGATAATGCAATAGGTTTGGCACTTGATTACGAAACAGCTTGTCTTACAACTTGTAATTTTATTTCTGAAAGTGTTGAAACTGAATCGTGTGACAAAAGTTTAACTTGTTCTGAAATTGTTTGTTCGGGTTTTGAGATATTGTCTAAATTTGTCAAGAAATACTTGAAGTGTCGGAGAAAACGTAAACAACAGAAGTGTTTCAACTGTAGTTAAATTGGTCATGTACGAGCCAAATGTCCTAAAGTGGTTAATGCCAATGTTGATGCTGAAAACTCGGATAATTGCAGTACTATTGAAATGTTTTCAGAATCAGAGGTTTTAATCGGTGACGATTTCTTTGGACTGGCATACTAATAAAATTGAGAATGGAAATGGGGAATGTGTCAAAGAGACAACAACCCGACCATAGAACAGACAACAGCAGAAGGTCACCAACAGGTCTTCAATGCAGCGAGAAATTCCCACACCCGGAGGCGTCCTTCAGCTGGCCCCTAAACAAATATATATACTAGTTCAGTGATAATGAACGCCATGCTAAACTCCAAATTGTACACAAGAAACTAAAATTAAAAATAATACAAGACTGACAAAGGCTAGAGGCTCCTGACTTGGGACAGACATGTTTTACCTGGTTGTATTTTCTTAGGGTTTTTGTGTATTTCTGTGTTGTAGGTGTTTTTGTAGTTGTTTGCATACAAATATTGTTCTCTACTTTTGTGGCAACAGTTCAAAGACGTGCTGCATGTCTGAATAACTGGTTTGTACAAATTTTCTTTTTACTTGATTTAATTGGTGGTAAATACTAGTTTAAGGCTTGATCTGAAGGCAGGTGCATGTGTAGTTTGTAGGATAGTTATAATAGTTTGAATTGGTTTATATTTTGGGTTTTTACTCAATTGATTGGATTTGTAATCTCCATCTAGATATTTTGTATTTAGGGAGTTTATGATGGTCTTATTTTGTGGCTTTTGTTAGTCATGACAGAAACCAATAGTTTGTACGAATAGTTTGAAGTTAGGAACACTTCTTGCTTTTATAGAACGTAGCACATAGATGAACCCGATCCATCTCAAGTGGCACACAGCTGTGTTACTTTAAAAACAACGTTGGAATGCTGAACCCGATGGTACATGTCAAACGTACCGTCGTAAGATCTACAATGGTGGACTTTACCTGGTATTGCCTCAACAGAAGCATAAACAGCGACTTTCGACCGTTACAACATTTATTCACCTAGATGTCCGCCCGATATTATCTGTAATCCGAAACAACTCGGGGAATTATAGCAATGGAGATAAAGAGCCCGTCCGTACAGAAGTAGCAGTTCAACCCTTGATGTGATGTGTGTATGATATCCGTGTGCTGTGTTGTGACATTTTATGTGAAAATGGACATTAATTGTGTATTTTTGAATTGAACATTTCATGAGCATTTATTTGTACATGTGTAATTTGTTGTTTGTGTCAAATGTTATTTCATGAACATTTTTTCTTAAGGGGAAGGAATGTAATAGGATGTTTATGTTACTAAGATGTTTTGATGTGTTAAATGTAGAATCGAAGATGTCTTTACTTTCTTTTTATTAAATTGTTATTTGTTTTGCTGGCTGCTTTGAGTATTATTTGAAGTGCCTTGGAATATACCCCATACACTGTATCCAGAACCATTCCCTCACAATGTAATTGTTATTTCCCTTGTTTTAAACTATAAATTTCATATTTCTTTATTTAATAATTTACATGAAGCTTATACAGTACATATTTGTTAAATTGAATAGATATTGGTATTTTGAAATCATTTGTTCAAGATATTTAATTATATTCTAAAGTTTAGAATTTGCATCGTTGCAAATCATTTATAACCTTCTTTGAAAAACTTATACATTTTATATAAGTAATTTTGGATTTACCATCAGGTTGAATACCCACCGTGCGAGCGCTATCAAGCCAGGCAAGGTCGTTATAAACTTCTACCATCATGTTGATTTGACTGAAAATTGATGGATACCAAGGAAAACTGTACATTTCCAAGTCGCCGTTAAGGCTAGTGCATCTGCATTCTGAATACGGGTAATTATTAAAGTCATCGAATGCTCCATTTCTTTACTTTTGGATTTCATTATAAAAGATGTACTTATTGAATAAATTATATATTGTTTTCACTGTTTTTGGTTTCATTTACTTAGATATTTAGATAGCGCTTTTACATTTGGCATCCATCGTCTCCGTTTAAATCAGTTCACAAACTAGAACAAGCTGTGGTCCACATCCCCGAATCTCCAGCAAAAAACTGCTCCTGCTACAGATTGATAGCTCTGACAGTACATGAAAAATCAGGATACTATTTTATATAACACACACCACTCTGAAAACACGGAAATTTTATATAGCTGATAAGGGAGCTACCATTTGATTTTTATGGTGGGGGGGGGGGGGGGGGGCTAGAATGAAAAATTTTGTCCTGTTTTTTTTTTTTAGTTGTAATCTCTGTCCTGCCTTTTTAGCTCACCTGGCCCAAAGGGTCAAGTGAGCTTTTCTCATCACTTGGCGTCCGTCGTCCGTCGTCGTCGTCGTCCGTCGTCGTCCGTCGTCGTTAACTTTTACAAAAATCTTCTCCTCTGAAACTACTTGGCCAAATTAAACCAAACTTGGCCACAATCATCATTGGGGTATCTAGTTTAAAAAATGTGTCCGGTGACCCGGCCAACCAACCAAGATAGCCGCCATGGCTAAAAATAGAACATAGGGGTAAAATGTAGATTTTGGCTTATATCTCTGAAACCAAAGCATTTAGAGCAAATCTGACATGGGGGTAAAATTGTTTATCAGGTCAAGATCTATCTGCCCTGAAATTTTCAGATGAATCTGACAACCGGTTGTTGGGTTCCTGCCCCTGAATTGGTAATTTTAAGGAAATTTTGCCGTTTTTGGTTATTATCTTGAATATTATTAGAGATAGAAATAAACTGTAAACAGCAATAATGTTCAGCAAAGTAAGATCTACAAATAAGTTCACTTGACCAAAATGGTCAGTTGACCCCTTAAGGAGTTATTGCCCTTTATAGTCAATTTTTAACCATTTTTCGTAATTTTGGATTTACCATCAGGTTGAATACCCACCGTGCGAGCGCTATCAAGCCAGGCAAGGTCGTTATAAACTTCTACCATCATGTTGATTTGACTGAAAATTGATGGATACCAAGGAAAACTGTACATTTCCAAGTCGCCGTTAAGGCTAGTGCATCTGCATTCTGAATACGGGTAATTATTAAAGTCATCGAATGCTCCATTTCTTTACTTTTGGATTTCATTATAAAAGATGTACTTATTGAATAAATTATATATTGTTTTCACTGTTTTTGGTTTCATTTACTTAGATATTTAGATAGCGCTTTTACATTTGGCATCCATCGTCTCCGTTTAAATCAGTTCACAAACTAGAACAAGCTGTGGTCCACATCCCCGAATCTCCAGCAAAAAACTGCTCCTGCTACAGATTGATAGCTCTGACAGTACATGAAAAATCAGGATACTATTTTATATAACACACACCACTCTGAAAACACGGAAATTTTATATAGCTGATAAGGGAGCTACCATTTGATTTTTATGGTGGGGGGGGGGGGGGGGGGGGGGGGGGGCTAGAATGAAAAATTTTGTCCTGTTTTTTTTTTTTAGTTGTAATCTCTGTCCTGCCTTTTTAGCTCACCTGGCC